TGATCTAATAATGGTTTTTTTTATGGAGGATAATGGAATGGTGCCCCCACCTGCGCTAACAGTTTACGCTGGCGGGGCACCAGTGGAGGATGGTAAGATTAATATGAGGTCAGGTCAGTTAGCACATCGTGACAAATTCACCAGAAATTTATCACGATGGTTTCTAGGGGGAACCGCGTGGAGGTCAACCTGACATGGTACATTGCTAGTAATGATGTCATGAGTCCACATTACTAACAGTCCCCTTCCCCCATCTGATAACAGTTATCATGCAACACTCTAAGTGTACGCGAGAAGAAACTCTGAAACCGCACTGTTCGAGGCCACTTAGGTTCCAGCGTGTGAAGATAAATTCCCCTTTTTTTCGGACTACTCTAATGTTGGCCACTGCTGACCTTTATAGCTTTACTGGATGATAGGGGGCGAGTGCAGATGGCACTACAAATCCGTGGAAAGACTCATGGAGTGGCTGAAGGCCAACTCCCGCCTGACGGATACGACTTTAGTCAGAGGGCACCGCTATGGTTCTAACTTCAACTCATGCCGTCGTAATTTCGATCTCCGTTTGAATTGAGATCGATCGAAGGGGAGAATCTAAGTGTACGCGAGAGGTAGCTCTGAAACCGCACTGTCCGAGACCACATAGATTCCAGCGTATGGGGATCAATTTCCTGTCGATGGCGAGCGGTGCGATGGTAAAATATAAAACAATAAATCATCATACAGCGCAAAAAATTCTATAACAATATACAAAGAATGCATATACATACGTATAATGGACTTGGTTGGTATATAATTAGTCACGAGTCGTTGTTCCGTTGATTACGTGGATTCCGAACTGAAGGTCGAACGCCTGAATTGTTCCTATACTTTTTAGATTTTAGATCTCTGTTATCCGACTTTAAATGAGGAGAGTACGCACTGATTATAACGGCTGATAGGGACTGGTAAGAAGATAGCATGCGTTCGATGAAGACCAGATACGGTGTGTTTTTAAGTGGTAGAGTACTACTGTAGGTACTCTATATATATGTGACTTCAATTTTGTTGCATAACTAGCTGAGCCTGGTCTCGTCCACGTGAAATTAAACTAAATAACATTTCTGAAATAAAAGCAGCCTCAGTCATTCCTCATAACGTTAGCTATCTGCAAGTGAAAATTTTCGGTACTTTCAAATCCATTCAGTGAAAAGTTATTAATTAAAAACTGCAGACAGACACTTAAATATAATTTATTTTTCTGCGACTTCATGATAAATAATCAAAGGAGTAGAGTGGCCATTTATTGGCTTCAAAGCTGCCTCAACAAAGAGACTCTCTATAGCACTCATTTAAGATAGCTAATAAGTACTATATTTTTATTGGTTTGGGCTATTGTCAGGTGCTTGGACCTGTAGTACTGCGACCTACATACATCTATTGAAAGAAAGAAAGAAAGAAAGAAAAATATTTTATTCAGTGCAATGTAAAAAATACAATATAAACAACAAACGAAAAAAAAGAGCAAATAAAATGTACATATAATTAAACTTAATTTACCATAATTAAAAAATAAACATAAAATAAATAACATAAATAAAATATTGTGCTCGCGCTTATTCAAAGATCGTTACCTAGACCCGTCAGAGACAATAATTGAAGGATAATCTTAGAAACGATAGTTTTTATCTCCTATAGAGCAACACACAAGTTTCTTGCTTATTTTCTTGTGATGAATCTGCATTCCGAATAAGCGGTAGAATAAAAAACCTTGACTATTCAAAAGTGCTTATGTTAAGTTTATTTGAATAAAGATTATTTATATTTCTATTTCTTAGGATAGAGTGTAATCTTTCCAAAGCAGATATTTCGTTTACGCATAAGTGGTTTACAACCACATAGGATGTGTCGTGACGTCCTCTTCAGTTTGGCAAAATCTGCAGAATTCTGTTGTGCAGAGGCCTAGGTTTGACATAATCTTTATTCAATTTATAGTGTCCAGTGAGGACTCTAGTCATTCATGATGAGTAAAAACAACATATTCATGTTGTTTTTACTATATACATACAATACTCTATTGGAGTGATGTTGCGAGTAGCCCGTTATTAGGGCTTTTGAATGTACTAATCCTGGCTAGTACTGCCAGTGATTAGTAAGTACTAGCACTAACATATGTTTTCCTTAACTAGATGCACTTGTAATTATTGTGTCACGCTACCTGTAGCCAGTTATTATTTCAGTAAGGTAGACATTTTTTCTAACAACAAAATTGCATTTAATTCATAGTGGATAACTAGGTACAACACAACATTGTCTATGATCAACTACTTTTTAATAGTACATTCATTAAACAATAAAGTACGTAGACTAACAAATATTGTAGGGAATAAACGTGCCTATTCATTAATAATTATTCTTGTTTTTTTGTTTGTTGATCACCAGATCAACAAAGAAGTCCAGACAGAGCATAACGTACAAAATGAAGCAGTAGTATTCATTTCATTATTTATTTATTTATATATGGTAGTATCGTATCGTATCGTAAACGTTTACTCTGTGTTATCCGCCTAGATCTATGTATATATGTATATTATAATTTTATTATATTTATTATATCTATGAAGATATCCGCAGAATACCAGCGTCGTGGCACCCCGTCACGATATATGCTGAGCGGAGACCTATTTGGTACTATGAAATTAATATAAACCTATATAATGTAACTTAAAATTTAAAAAATAATTTTTGTATTGCTATGTACCAAATAAATAATTTTCTTTCTTTCTTTCTTTATTCTCAATCAAATGAATCCTACTAATATTATAAACGCGAAAGTTTTTGAGTATGGATGGATGGATGTTGATATGTGAAATTATACAGTAAATTAAAATAGGTACCCTAATTTACAAAATACATATTAGTAATATTATAAACGCAGAAGTTTGTGAATGATGGAATGATGGGTGTTTCTTACTCTTTCATGCAAAAAATACTGATGGGATTTTGATAAAACTTTACAGTAATATAGCTTATATATCAGAATGTATAGGCTATAAATATCACGCTAATGTGAATCGGCGGACACTGTTAGTAAATATATAATTTCGATAATGAATTACTAATTTAATCCGTGTTACTAAGCAAGTAATTTATATTTACCACAAATTACTAGAAACGCAAACGGAGGTTTTATATCCTCATAAAATGTAATTATAAATATGACAAAATCTTAATAGATTAACTCATAGAATAGGTAATAATAGTTAGTTGGTAATACTTCTATTATTTATACGTAAAATTAAGAAAATTCGCATAGTCTTATTACGTTTTGTTTGTTTTTATTCATTTCTCGATATTTCGGCGGTGTATCAACCGTCTTAATCACAGGTAAACTGAATGGCATAAAATAGAACTTGGTAAGATCCCGTGATTATTCCTATTTTACGTATAAATAATGACCGCGTCAAATTTAAAAGTTCTATTATTATTTTACATAGTGTGCCGTCTAGACGTTTTCGTTGGTCTGTGAACTGTACATGGACATAAATATCATGATCACAGGTAATTCTGACACAGTATAAAGTAATGTGTACGGAAAGAGTCGCTTCCATACTTCTGCTGAATTTATAAACATGGAAGTCACATGTACAGTATTGTAAAGTCATTATTATTACTATAGCCTTTATTCAGATCAACTTAACATGTCAACAATTATTATAAATAAAATATTCTTCACTTTTACTTTATACATTCTGCTTTTTAAAATTATACTGTGTTTTAAAATGTGTAGAGATACTCTGTCTGTACACAGCACTTGTTCTCTGAATGAATTCACGAAGATTGCTTTATCTATTACTAGCTTTTACACGCGGCTTCGCTCGTATGGTTTTTAAATAAAAAGTCTCGTATATTCATTTCAATACCTCCAAGAACGTGTGTACAAAATTACATGATGATCGGTTCAGTAGTTTTTGCGTGACAAACAAACATCCCTTTCACCTTTATAATTTTAGTAAGGATTAGCTACGACTTCATCTCTATCACACTTATCATTATATATAGCCCAATTTACATATCTTTTTAAATTAAAGCCTATATGTTATTCTGATGTAAAAACTATGGTACTGTAAAGTTTCATCAAAATCCGTTCAGTAGTTTTTGCGTGAAAGAGTAACAAACATCCATCCATACTCATAAACTTACACATTTATTTAGTAAGATAAGCTACAACTGATTAAAAAAATAATGTTTGCTACACTATTATATTAGGCTAAGACCTGTAAAAATGTAATAGTGGAAATAAAATAAAATAAAAAATATATAGGGGGAAGTTTAGTAATGTTAGTAATGTGGACTAATAACCGCACTGTTAGCAAAGTGTCATGTCAGGTTGACCTCCACGCGATTCTCCCTGGAAAACATAGTGACAAATTGCCATTTGCCGATATGGGCTAACTGATTTGATTTCATGTTCATTATATCTATCTCCATTGGTGCCCCGGTGTATACTATTATTGCATCATAGCCCCAGATCAATCCCCCATCCAATTCATACGGGGATTAAAATTACGACGGTCTGAGCCGAGGTCCAAAACCCTAGCGGTCACCTCAGACTAAAGTCGTATCCGTCAGGCAGTTAACCTTCAGCCTCTCCATAAGTCCTTCCGCGGGTTTGGAGTACCATCTGCATTCGTCCCTTATCGTCCGATGTAGAGTAGCTGTAAAGGCCAGTTGCGGCCAACAAACAGCATTGAAGTAGTCCGAAAAAAAACATAAAAATTTAAAATATATTTAAATTCAGTATGTATCTGTCTATCCAACTCTGGTTTACCGAAGTAGACTGCACAAAGCAGTCTGCATGGGTACGCAATGTAAAGCATCTTCTTTCTGTGTTTCGTTGGAGAATGTGATTGCCATATCTCCAAGTCAAGGATTTTATAAATAAAAATGAATTTGCCTGGTTATGAATCGGTTTAATAAAAAAGTATTCTAGAACATTCCATTTAAGATTGCAAATAGTTCTATGGAAAGTAAAATATACCCGGATTGTGATTGTATATGCACTTGGTGACATGGAACACTGCGTCGCAGATGTCTTTGTAGGGGTCGGCTGTAATAAAAAAAGAATCATCTTAAATTTATATATAATTAAATAAATTTTGCTGATATTCGTAACTGAATGACTTCAGAACATGTGTACCTATTTAGATATTTCTTTTTTATTGTGACTTATGATTGTTCTTTATAAAAATTATATAATTTAAAAATATACTTCGACAATACACACAGTGCCATCTAGTCCTAAGGTAAACTAAGTTTGTGTTATAGGTATTAGACAACTGATAGATATACTTATATATATATACTAGCTGTCCCGGCAAACGTTGTTTTGCCTTAAAATAAAAATAAAAATTTAGGGGTGGGCTACCCCTAACATTTAGGGGGATGAAAAATAGATGTTGGCCGATTCTCAGACCTACTCAATACGCTCACAAAATTTCATGAGAATCGGTCAAGCCGTTTCGGAGGAGTATAGGAACGAAAACTGTGACACGAGAATTTTATATATAAGATAACATATATGGACACATGTTACACATAGAACACACTCACATCAGTAAAGGTTTATACCGTGCGAGGAATCCAACCCGCGACTATCAAAATAACAACGAATGCTAAACCGTTAGATCACAATGGCTGTTCATAAAACAAGCTTGATATGAAAGAAGAGAATTCAATAATTGATAAAGAAATATATAAGTGGAGTGTCAGTAATGCGGACTAATAATAAACTAATAGCCATATTGCTAGCAATGTATTATGTCAGATTGACTTCCCCTGGAAAACATCGTGATAAATTCATGGCGAGTTCACCACGATCGGCTAACTGACTAGACCTCATGCTCATCCCTTCATCTTGCACAGGTGCACATTTGCCCCGCCAGGGTAAACCGTAAGTAATAGCCCTCTAATCCAATCCAATATTATCCATAAGAAAAAAATCTATAAAATAATAATTTGGATTCGAAAGTCACCGAAACTTTTCATTATTGAATTTTCCTTTTCATTTGATATATTTAATTATTTTTATTTATTCATTTATTTCAGGCAACTAGGCCCATATTATAAATACCTTATAGACTAACATACATATAATATAATATTTAAAAACTAATACAATAATACTAATAATTAGTAATAATACAATAATACTAATAATACTAATTATTAATATAGTAATTTTATTATCACTATATAAAATACATACAGACTTTTTTGCATGCTATAATTGCATCTTTGGCCGGTTGTTTGATCTCATCTGGCAGCAGAAGATCTACTTGCTTCAATGCCGACGGGTAGTCTAATTTGCCGTTTTTTACCTACAAATAATTAAATAATACATCACAATTAACAAATAACTTACTTAATAAACATATATTTAAAATCAAAATGAACTTCAACGTTGATACTTAAAATGTTTTTTTAGATAATATTTATATAGGTAAATAAAGAAAATAATACATCACAATTAACAAATAACTTACTTAATAAACATATATTTAAAATCAAAATGAACTTCAACGTTGATACTTAAAATGTTTTTTTAGATAACATATAGGTGAATAAAGAAATCAGTTATATATACATCGTAATTTATTTAAACTATATCGCATGTACATTCGGTTGGAGGGTAGTCTGTAATACAGGTTATACCTATTTTAAACATCAGCTTGTCACAGAAATTGTAATAGTAAATTTCCTAGTATCTGTAATGTTGTTTATGTGGATTGTTGACATATTCCATCAAATGTGTTTGGAGCAGACTTTACTGTAAAAACATTCCATTTTTACAATACGACCTTTTTATTTCTTTACAACCGAAAGTTGAATATAACTGATTTTAAAAGCGATAAGATGGTTTGCGCCAACAAACAACTGAGCAACATGCACGTTTGTTGCTCATTCTTCTTGTGATGAGTCTGCCTTCCGAATGAGAGACCATCAGAAAAATATGACAATTCAAAAGTGCTTATTTTAATACAGATTATTTATTTTTCTGTATCAATTTCTTTATCTATTCCGATGTATAAGTTTTGATATAACGTATACTTATTCAAGTTATATTAAGTTAAACTACGTTACACTAAAAAAACTTACAGCATTAGCCATTTTCATAACGCACGCCATATAACACTTGACTTCTTTTTCGTCTATGAATACACCGTCGTTTATTGGATCGATTTTTTCTGAAAACAAAATGTCGCTTTATCTATACTAATTGTACTGTTTGTGTTCCTGATTATCTACAACTACTACTAAGTCGACAAAGTTAGCTTTATTCAACAGTCGTGGAATGGCGACGGAGGGTAGGTATACAAAAAATAATAAACGGAAATATTATATATACATTGAACATTACAATATAACAATATATAGCATATGTCACAAAAAACTTATGGTAATTTACCATCTTCGACGTTATTTTTAGGTTGGCATTGTTTCCTCATCATTTTCCCTGTATTTCTTATTTGTTTCATAGTCATCTGTAAAAGAAATCTATTTTAAATCTATTATCCATATTCATAACATTAATACTAGATGTAAAGACAAACTTGCTGTAGTTAAGTATCGTTTAGAAAAAGTCAATGGGTTTTTTATGAAAATGGTTATAAAATTTTACAAGCAGATATCAAAGGATGTACTGGAATTTAGAACCTTTAAATAAATTTAGAACATCTGTTAAATCATATTTATTGAGCATAGCCTTACTAGTGAGTAATATGGCTTTCCTTTAAAAGATAATTTAATGACAAACGTGCATGGCAATAGTTGTTTATGCGCGGGATTTACATTTGATGTTACACATAAACAAGTGTACAAGTACGCAATATATGTAAGACCATCAAATTCTAACTGGCTTTAAAAAAAAGGAAAATTCAGTTGAGTTTCTTAGCTGTTCTTCTCAATTGATATGTATACTGAACTGGACAGTGCGAAAAATATATTAATACAAAAACTTGACGTTCATAAGCGGCTAAAATGTTCTATATGAATAAATAATTTCTGATTTGATTTGATTATGTATTCATATGAAAATGTACTAATGACGATCTTAATGATGCCTTTCAGTCAACCGTAGCTCAAACAGTTTTTATACTACGATGTTGGTAATAAAGCATACGGCCCATCAGATGATATAGATATGGTCTATGGATGTATGAAACACCGAGGATGTCAAGTGCGCGTTGTTGACCTTACATTACATTTGTATGAATTAATATCCTGTGTATTTTGCATGTTTGTTTTGCAAACTATTTGTAGTATGCGCAACATAAATTTATCTTTTTTTAAAATTTATTATGTATTTTTTATAAGGTACAATCCCTTGAAAATAATAGAAGCTAAGTTTATTGTCGGATCTTCTTGGGTTCACTGCATTCTAAGCTGACAATAGATTTGACTTATCATAAACGTAAACATTTATAGCATGATAAATTGTGCAATGTTTGTTTGAAAAGAGCACCTACTAATTTTTATTAATATGCCTCTTTGCTGTAATTTTATTTAACAACAGTTTTAATATCTACAGATTAATACGTGAAGTATTATTAACTTTGTACTCCTTTTTACGGACGAGAAGACGGTAGAGTACGAAATTTCGCACTCTTGTAATTTATATAGAGAAGGAGAGGAAAATGCTAAAAGAATATCTTTCTTAGTTATGCATAAAAATACATTAAATCGATAAAAAGTACACACAATATTTGATCATCATTATCTGCTTCTTTCTTATCCCATTTATTTGTGGTCGGCGTAATATGTTTTTCGCTTCCATTCATCCCTGTTCGCAGTCATCGCGTTATTTACTTCCTTTCTTACCATATCATCTTTCACACAGTCCATCCATCTCTTTTTCGGCCTTCCTCTGCCCTTATCCACATTCATATGTAACACCTTTGATATTTTATATATAAACACAAAATATTTGATACACATGTTTTTTTTGTTATTGCTGGTTCAAATATCCTTCTGTATTTATTATTACGACTATTCTGCGTCGCTAGTTGTTATAAAATTACAATAGAATTGAGAACCTCTTAATTTTAAATTTAGTTGAGAATCAGATAGATGATAGAGTCATGTACTTACGGCATCACAAAAAGCAAATAGCAGTAAAAACTTAGCTACAATAGTCAACAACATGTTCATTCATCGACTTGTGATAATGACCACTAATTTTATGGGAACCTTCATCTCGTGGTGCTATTTATGCTGTCGGTTCATTCATAAACGTATTCGTTAGTTTAATTAATGGAGGTGTTGTACCGGCTTGCTGTGACAATACTATCGGTAGATAATAATAAAAATAACGCTGGACAATTCACACAGCGCCATCTAGACCCAAGTTAAGCTACCTAAAGCTTGTGTTATGGGTACTAGATAACTGATATAAATACATAGATTTTTTCGTAAAGACATAGATTCTATACATAGACAATACCCGGATGAATTCAAATGTTTGTGCCATACGAAGAATCTATCGGAAGTATAAATAGCATAAAAATAATGCTGGACAATTCACACAGTGCCATCTAGACCCAAGCTAGCTAAAGTTTGTGTTATAGGTACTAGATAACTGATACATATACATAGATATTTTTTCGTAAATACATACATATTATACATACATAGATAGAAAATACCCAGATCGATACAAACAATCATACTCATGAATACAAATGTTGTGCCGTGTGAGGAATCGAACCCGCGACCATCGGAAGTATAAATCGAATAAAAATAATGTTGGACAGTTCACTCAGCGATATTTAGTCGCAAGTTAAGCAGAGCTTGTGATATGGGTACTAGACAGCTAATACAAATACTTAAATATATGTTTCTAATGCATTCGTAATACAATATATGTAGAAGATACCCAAACAAATACAAACAATTAGGTATACTTATGAATACAAATCATTATTCGAACCCGCGACCTAGTGGCATAACAATAATATTAATAACCCTTAACACAGCGCCATGTAATCCCGAACCAAGCAGAGCTTGTGTTTTGAGTATTTGACAACTGATATAAGTACTTAAATACATTTTTTTTTGTAAATACATAATACCTGCCAGACAAATATAAACAATCATACTTATAAAACTCCGAAACACAAATGCTTGCACGGTGCGAGAAAGCTTCCGATAGCGATGATCAGGTCCGTATTGAATTTGTTTTCTCATTATTAAACCATTAAGTAATTAGTAAAAAAAATATAGTGAGTAAAAACGATACGGACACTGCAAACTGAATAAGCACATTTCGAAAGTAGTCCTTAGCATAACATCAATCTGCAGATTTTGCCAAGCAGAAAACGAAACGCCACTGCACATCCTATGTGATTGAAGCCCTCTCATGCATAAACGAAATATCTTTTTGGAAAGTATACACTATATCTTGAGAAGATAAAAACCATCGCTCCTAAGAATATCCTTCATGTCCCTTACGGGTCTAAGTAGCGAACTTTGAATAAGGGCGAGCACAATAGATCTATACAGGTCGCAGTGTCATAACACTTGACAGCCCAAACCCACCTAATAAAAAAAAAAAAGTAATTAGATTGTTTGCCAGTCTAGGTACTAAAAAAACTATTACAATATATCCACGCTATTGAATTTATCATGGTCACCCTTTACAATTAAAATTGAGTGTTTTCTGACGTTACATTAGCACCTTAATTACAAATTACAAGAGCGCTACTCGTTTCTGTTACAATGGATTATCTAGTTCAGTTACACGAACCGGAGATACAAGGTAAGAAACTGTTATATTTTTTTTAAATCGTAATTGTTTAGATAGAGGGAAAGAATTGGCTGTATATTATAGAAAAAAACAAATTGTAACATCTGTGAGACAAATTACAGGACTTTTTATGATGGAGGTTGGGCCCACTTGTGGAATATCTAATAATTTTTGAAACTGAGGTTTATATTCAATATGTCTAGAAGTTGATATATTTTTTATACGATATCGTCTGCTTTTTTAAGAAAAAATATTGCTACACTTTAAAAATTAAGTTCTATTCAGCCGTTTGGTTGTGAAATACTTTCAAAGTTTGTAATGTATATGTATTCAAAAGACATAAAATTCTGTATATTATGTATATTATATACACAAAACTATGAGTACCCGGACAACAGTGGGGCAGGTCATTAGTAGTACAAAAATATTACATACTACCAAGCATAATGAATAGCTGCATTTACACGTACGCTCTTTCACTCGCGAATAGGCTTTCACGCAGGAAAGTATGTACATGTAAATGTAGACAAAGAACGTCGAGAGACGTCCTTCAATCGTTTTTTTTTCGCGCTACAATATTGCTAACATATTATCCATAGCGTCCTTCAATCACCGTGTGTGCTTTAGATGGCACTTTTTTTAAACCCGAAAGAAGGAAATGGAGCGGCATATTTATTCTGACGGATACGACTTTTCAACAATGTTACCCCGCGGTTTTTAATAATTAATTATATCAACAAAATCATAATTATGGAGTAATTGATATTTTTTATATATTATATATATATATATATATATATAGTCTTAGTAGAATGAATTAAAAAAATTTTTGTTCAAACTTCACTTTGAACAAAAATATTGTCAAATACAATCGCTCACAATGGTGAGGGTTTGCATAATTTTTGTTTGAACAATCATTTTATATTTTTGAATGAAAAATTTTATAAATTACGCGAAATTTCGTAAACTAAAAAATGATTAAATGCAAACAATTTTTTTTTGTTTGTGTAATTTCGCGCGCATTTTTCCCGCGCTAAGTCGCTCGCGATTCTAAGCGCGTAAGAATAAATCGTGTAAAGACAGCTAATATCTAGACATGAAATTAATAAATAAATATATGTGTATATTGTTCCTACAATTTGTACTAGTAATTGCAATGTAATCAATCACTCACCTGTCACATAAGAAGCCGTAATAAAAACATTTATAAATGCAGATCCACGTATATTGTAACCAGTATTGTTCAGTATGCATACGAAAAAAAAATATCAATTTTTTCGTTTTGTAATTTTATTACAACTTTCCATTTTGGATCTTAGTTTTGGGGTGAGCATATTTTTTTTTTATACCACTATGTTGGCAAGTAAGCATACAGCCCATCTGATGGTTTAAATAGATGGTAAATGGTTACCGTAGCCTATGGACGCCTGAAGCACCAGGGGTGTCACGTGCGCGTTGCCGACTCTTAAGAAACCTTAATATCCTTCTTGAAAAACCCCATGCTGTAGTCTCATGAGAAAACCTCGGCAGGAAGTTCATTCCACCATCTAAGTGTACGCTGGAGGAAGTTCCTCTGAAACCGCACTGTCCGAGACCATACTTCAATCTTGCATAATTTGGGATGCACTGGAAAAGTCGTCTCCATGGGTACCTCAGTCTCATCTATAACAGTCGCCAAACAGCTTGCTTTGTAAGCTGTGTTTCTATTTTTTGGATGATAATGGAATTGATCTGCCTGAGCTGGCAAACGCTGTCTGGTTTACGCTGGCGGGGCACCAGAGGAGGATGATAAAATGTGCATAAAGTCAAGTCAGTTAGCCCATCTTGGTATAGCAATTTAACGTGATGGTTCCAGAGGGAACCGCATAGACGTCAACCTGACATGGTACATTGTAGCAATACTTATTATGTCTGTTGCAGACAGCAGTTGGTTAGTTTAGTAGCAATGGTGTAGTCCCCATTACTTACGCGGGCAGTGAAATACTATTTCTATAGAATATAATTTCACTGCATAGTCTTTCTCGATACCCTTGGTGGTCTGGCGGTTTAGCATGCCGCCTAACTTCCGATGGTCACGGGTTCGATTTCTCTTACGGTGCAAACATTTGTATTCATTCGATTATATATTTATTTATATCAGTTGTGTTATAGTCTTATCATAAGCTCTGCTTAGCTTGGGACTAGATGGCTCATCGTGAGTTGTCCAGGGTTATTATTATTCTATCGTTTACATTAGAGGAATGGCTATGAAAATATTTTTGTAAAATTTAATTGTCAGCCAGTCAGCGTTAGTATCACGAAAAGGCAGTTATACTAAGATCTCCATTTTTTTTAAAATAAACTACAACTTTACGCTTTTTTGACTTAGCTTTATGAAAACTCAGATAAGAGAATTCATCATTCATTCGCCTATTAAGTATAGATGAATTAATGATGAATTCTCTTATAATAAATGAATTATTATAAGTGAAAGAATCAGTTAAACAATTTTAGAGGCCAATCACTTTTGACTTTCGAGGACAAGCTCGAAAGGAAAACATCAATTCTTTTGTCTTAACAATGTCACTTAAACAACAATAACAATTTTTTTTTGTTCCGTAACTTAAAATTATTTTTAGTTCACAAACATCCCTCGGTGACCTTCAACCGAGTAATTGAAAAACGTTTAACCAAACGTTTAGTAATATATAATTTATATCACAAAATTAGTAGTTGCAATGACAATAAATATTAATTAGTGAACATGTTGATTCATATTAAAGCTGATTTCGTTGCGATTTTTAACCATTTTGGTCTATGGAACATTCTCGAACGATATTGTTTATTTGTATCAAGTATCACGTTTGACATTTGAGAAGTAAATATTTATTGAGTGACGTTTGAAGAATGCGTTTCTTGCTTCTTTTGTGTGTAGTGTTATGTCTTGTTGGAAATATTATTGGGGTAAGTATATTATTACATACAGATTTAGAAAATAAATTTATTTAGTTACCATACCCCTCCGAAACGGCTTGACCGATTTTTATAACATTTTATATACATATTCAGTAGGTTTGAGAATCGGCTACTATCTATTTTTCATACCCCTAAGTGACAAGGGTTGTCCACCTCTAACATAATTTTTTGGACAATTATTTTATGGTTTGGCATTAAAAAATACATACAACTCAAAATTTTCACCCTTCCCTACCACCAACCCCTATTTTTAATAGCAATATTAGTACTTAAATGTTTATGGCAAAACAACATTTGCCAGGGCAGCCAGTACCATTACAGAATTAAACACTTTATTTACTATGCAATTATTAATGAAAAGTACAGAGCGATTAACAGATCGTAGACTAAATAAATGTCAAAGAGACATGGTTATTATTGCCATAATCTAAAACAAAATATGACTAATATTTCCGACAAGTCCGCCATTGTTTACTCATTCATTTTTAAGGCCTTTAAAACGATTGATATGTTGTTATTAAATAAATAAAATAAATAATAATAATACACTAATGTTACAAAATGTAATATGCTATCATAGAGTTTTAGGATTTTAAGAATAAATGTAGGAAGTCAGGTGTAGTACACGTAGATGTTTATGTAAATTTTATTAAATGGCGGGTTTTCTTATGTTTTTAATGACTGAGACCATAGAGCTAGCTTTACAGGAATTTATAAAATTTGACGTTGAATATATAGACTACATTATACATACCTACTACATAAAAGTAAAATTAAGACTAGAGTTAATCCGCCGAATAAATAATTTTCCCTATAGTCAAAGGCAGGACAGAATAACGGTTAATTGAAACGTTATAATTAAAGCTAAAACAAAAAGAACTATAAAATTGAGTACCTATGATATACGGATAAAAATAATATATACTGAGCTATATATAATATTAGTAGAAACTACATATCTCATTATAGAATGTTAATGAAAAAACGCATGAAACTGACAATTCGGATCGTCTACGATCCAACTTAGTAAAGATTGTGCTATAAGTATAAGACAACTGATAGAAATACTAAGATACAATAATTTGGTATCTAAATTCATAGTATATATATATACCATGTAATAAAAAATATATGTAGGTGTTTATGAATACAAATGTTTGTGTTGTGCGAGATTCGATACCGCAAGCATAGAGAAGAGCGGCAGATAGTGCAGTTTTTAGGTTTTTAAAATCTAATATCTAATAATAAAAACCATAATTCGTAGATGACAGAAATATATTGGTTATAAAAAACAAATATTTGAATGTACATCGAATGTTTATATTATATTATGAAGTCAAAATTCGAATTTAGAACGCTACATTTTTATTATGTAATATAAAACAGACATATATTTTTTAATTATAATTTTATTCGTGATATCAAAATGGCGGCTATGAAATATAAACGTAAAGTTTATAAAAATATTCTAATGTTTGTTGCTCAGTAACATAGAACTTATATAGGCTTTGAAATGAAATTGATTTTAGATTTAATCGTAACGAATATTTCAAGAAGCAGCTGGAAGATATATTTAGTTAGTAATTATAATGTAATGTAAAAATATTCGAAATATGAAAATTTGTGTGCATTTCGCGCGCATTTCCGTGAATTGTCAATAGAGCAAATTTAAATAATTGTACTTTTTAGTTTTGGATTTGGAAAGATAGCATTTTATAAAATGATGAAATTAGTGTAATAGAAAAGGACAAACTTTCCAATACCTATTTAAAGTTTGATATTTTCTGAATAGAATGGTAAGGATTTATTTTTATATATGACAGATGACGAGGTCACAGGTTAAAAAAACGCTGCAGATAATGAAAAAGCAATGCATTTCTAAAATTGGTGTACCTGAAGGTAAGTAATAATGTTATTTATCTACATGTAATATTATAGTATCTGGGCGAATAAACTTAGCAGCCTTTTTTTTAAACTTGTATAATTTTTAGGTTATTTGTAGACAAATTAACCTATTTGTATAATACTAAAGTTGTCATATATAATATTAAATTTAAAGTGCGAATTTTCATTGATCAACTACAAATGACAAAGAAGCTTATGAATACTCTAATTTGTTAAAAATCTTCTGGTTCCAGATAAAATAGCCAACATAGAGCAGGGAGTTTTCATAGAAGATCGACTAGTAATGTGTTACATTGGATGTATATATAAAACTTTGCAAGTGGTAAAGTAAATGTTATGATAATTTTTGTAACGTAAACTAACATAACTCGTTTAATTATTGAGACTTCTATTTAATCATTTGTAAGTTGTATATCGTATTGATGGTGAATTCTGGCAGCGAAATTACATGGCAACCCCGTAGAATAGCACCGTGGTGGTACTTTTTTTAATACTATTGGTGGTGGTTGGTGGTACTACTTTTTTTTGTACTATACTTATGGTGGCAAACAAGTGTACGGCCCATCTGATAGTAAATGGTTATCATAGCCTATGGACGCCTGAAACACCAGGGGTGTCACGTGCGCATTGCCGACCCTTAAGAATAATAATATACACTTCTTGAAAAACCCCATGCTGTAGTCTCGTGAGAAAACCTCTTCAGGAAGTTCATTCCACAATCTAAGTGTACGCGGGAGGAAGCTCCTCTGAAACCGCACTGTGCGAGACCACTTAGGTTCCAGCGTGTGGGATTGAATTCCCTGTCAATGGCGAGCGGTGTGATGGTAAAAGGTATATAATCAAATAACCCTGCACACATTGTGTGATAGCCTTAGTACCGGCAGTAAATAGATCGCTAGTTTTTTATCTGGCAGATGCATCAAAACGGTAGTCGATGGTAGTTGCTCCAATACTATGGACATTAATGCTGGCGTCCCGCAAGGCTCTGTTCTCTCCCCAACACTGTTTCCGATGCATATTTGTTAACTAAATGCAATGATTTGTTAACTAAAGTTAACATTTATTGTTATGTGGATGACAGATGATCACTTACATAGTGGAATGACCTACCTGCCGAGGTATTCTCAATAGACTACAGCATAGAGTTTTCTAAGAAGGATATATGAAGGTTTCTTAAAAACATTGGTGTTTCAGGCGTCTATAGGCTACGGTAACCATTTATCATCAGATGGGCCGTATACTTGTTAGCCAACGTCGTAGTTTAAAAAAAGGACCACGGTTACCCCTTAACATCAGCCGGACCGTAAGCTTTTAGGAATTGGTGTAATTAAATAAATATGAAATTATTGGAATTTTTCGTTGTAGTTATACTTTGTTTAATTTTGCTATTGTATTTTAGGTAAAAAATAATAAAATAGACAGAGACCTGGCCGTGAAACAAATCGAAGCACTATACCCGCCTGAATTGCGAGAGAGCACTGTAAAGGGCATGGACAAATGTTTACCTATTCGTAAGTACCTATAATATTATACATAAAATTCTCGTGGCACAATATTAGTTACCATCCGAAATGGCCTAACCGATTTTTATGAAGTTTTATATGCATATTCAGTAGGTCTAAGAATCGGCTACTATCTATATTTTATACCCCTAAGTGACAAGGGTTGTTGTTGTATTTTTTTATAATATGGCATTAAATATACATACAACCCTAAATTTTCACCCTTCTATACCAACTCATATTTTTATAGCGATTTTAATTTACGACATACGATACACGACGATTGCTTCAATCGACCTTGTTCCCTCTGAATGATTCCATATCCAATCAAACGGGGATTGAAATTAAGACGGCCTGAGTTGAGGTTCGAAGCCCTAGCGGTGTCTTCAGACTAAAGTCGTATCCATCAGGCGGGAGTTGGCCGTCAGCCACTCCATAAGTCCTTCCGCGGGTTTGGAGTGTCATCTGCACTCACCCCCTATCGTCCGGTGAAGCTGTAAATGCCAGCTGCGGCCAGCAGCATTAGAGTAATCGGTTTTATTTTCTTTTGTTTTTTACATACGCTGTCTCGTGTGTGGTGACGCCACTGAAAATCAGGGCTGTGGTATAACTTATTTATACTAAAGTATAAATAGAATCTTTGGGGGAGACCTATGTCCAGCAGTGGACGTCTTCCGGGCTGCGATGATGATGATGATAAATATAAAATAATAGAATAGAATAGAAAAACATTTATTCAAATAAACTTGATTTAAGCACTTTTGAATAGTGATAGTTATCATTCTTTAAATCTACCGCTCATTCGGAAAGCTGTCTCATGAAGAATGTCTCAAGAAGAACGAGCAAGAAACTTGCGTGTTCTAAATATTCATTATAACTTTACATTTTCAATTTGAAACGTGCGAATATAAACCACCAATTAGCACTAATTTATTAGGGACAGATATTAAATACACAATAGGATTAAAACAGTCAACAAAATGCTGAGTGGGAGTCTTCGGAGTTACTAGTATAGTTTAGCTTTTAAGTTGTATAGTAAATATTAAATAAGATATAAGAATACTGTAATGTTGCATAAATGTTTGTGTATATATTATTATTATAAAAAAAAGTCCATGTATACCATCAGCATGTTACGATATAAGTTATTTAAAAAAATAAACGTACATTTTTATTTTTATTCCAGAGGCGAAGTACGGTGATTTTTGTGAGGCCGTTTTCCACGGAGCCAAATGTTTGTATGAATTCGATCCGCCGAGCTTCTTATTTGCTTGATGACTTTACATTTGACGCCAGTGTTTCTCAAACTGTTTCATTCTGTGATCCCTTCGTATATTAGAAAATATATATGACTATGATATTATGAATGTAATTATCACTAAATAATTGTCTTTTTCTTTACCCCTGACCCACCAAGAAACGATTTGGGACATTTAGGGGTCACCCACAGTTTGAGAAACACTGATCCATACTAATAATGTGACAAATAATTTAACTTGCTAGTGCAAAATTCTTACTAATGATATTTTAAAATTAAAAGTAAATTTTATTCGTCACTGGAAACATCACGTCTGTGTTTTATTTATTACGTAAGCTAATAAAGTAAAATATAATATGTAGGAAATAAATCATAAGAATCGGTGGCTATAAAAAGTACGGCATTACGTATATTGGATTGTCTAAGAATCGGCTACTATCTATATTTTATACCTCTAAGTGATAAGGGTTGTCCACATCCAATATTTTTATTTTATATCTTGGACAAATTTTTTATTTTGTATTTTTTTATAATGTGCCATTAAATATACATACAACCAAATTTTTTATAGCGATTTTAGCGACTTCTTATAGCGACCGTAAGTTAATAAATTAAGATATAATGTAATAGCAAATAAATCATAAGAATCGGCAGCTATAAAAAGTACGGCATTACGTATATTGGATTGCCGCGGTGGTCTAGCAGTTTATCGCGCTGCTTTATTTCCGATTATCGCGGGTTTTATTCTCGCATAGTACAAACACTTGTATTAATGATTATGATGGTTTGTGTTTAAGTATTTGTATCAGTTGTTTAGTGCCAATGTAGTATAAACACTATTCGATACAAATAAATAAAATTTAAATGTTTGTAATTTCAAATTAACTGCCTTTCACTAAATGCGTATCGCACGTACGGCTCTTACATCAAAATAATAATTTTGGTCTGCCTGTCTATTCTTATTAATCTAATCTTTCAAAAGAGCGATTTATTACTATTTCTGAAACAGCCTAACCGATTTTTTATTTTATAAAAAAAATATAATATAAAATAAATTAAAGCGGTTATTTTAATTTCACAAGCACAAAGTTGCGGGTTTATATTGAACCGTCATAGTACGAGTTTGTCATCATTTTCAAATCAAATCAAATCAAATCAAAATACCTTTACTCATGTAGAGCGATTACAAACACTTTTAATCGGAAGGAAGGGCGCGGTCTCTGAAAAATATCGTAATAAATTCCTGGTGATTCCTTATGTTGATCTTATCATCTTCAACTGGCATCCTAAATAGTGGTCTGTGCAGGTGGGTTTACCATTCCATTATCATCATTAAAAAAACCACTTATGATTAGTAATCTCTGGTTTTCATCATCGCCGTCATCCGATAACCGTAAATAATGAATGCAAATTACATATCACTATGAAAGTTATGTCTACAACTGTACTACATCTTTGCATACTATAAAACAAAGTCGTCGCCGCTGTTTGTGCGCTTATATCTTTTAAATTACAATCTTTGCATACTATAAAACAAAGTCGTCGCCGCAAAGTCACTGTCGCTGTCTGTCCGTCCCTATGTATGCTTAAATCTTTAAAACTATGCAACTGATTTTAAATCGGGTTTTTAATAGATAGAGTGATTCAAGAGGAAGGTTTATATGTATAATACATGTACACCCGCGCAAAGCCGGGGCGAGTAGCTAGTCCAAATATATATAACTCAAATGTGACTGACGTAGTGATCTATCAACGCACACCCCAAACCACTGGACGGATCGGGCTGATATTTGGCATGCAGGTAGATGTTATGACGTAGGCATCCGCTAAGAAAGGATTTTAATTAATTCTACCCCAAAGCGATAAAATAGGTGATGAAAGTTTATATGAAACTTTGTCAATTTTAAACCGATCGGGCTGAGACTTTGCATGCATAAAGCTACTATCACGTAGGCATCCCCCAAGAGAGGATTTTGAAAAAATTCCACCCCTAAGGGGATAAATTAACGTGAGCGAAGCCGCTAAAAGGTAGCTACTAATAAAATACAACACACAGCAATGGACAGGGTTATTCAAGAGGAAGGTTTATATGTGTAATACATGCGTATTATAATATAGAACAAGCCGTGAAATTTAACGATTTGTAATACATCCGTGCGAACCTGGGTTGTGGCTCTAGTTTTACTAATAAAATACAAACTCACGCATGCAATTAAGTACAGATAAGTCTTTATATGCAACCGATTCGATAAGTAATGTACAGTGCGTTATTACGTTCAGAAAAAATAAACAACTTGTTGAGATGAATTGGAAGTTAATATTTTGGTTTACGATTGGAATTTCCGTCAACGTTAATTCCGTAAGTACGGTTATTTTTAACTAATAGCCTGTCGCAATTTTGTCTGCGTCACATTTTCCATGTTTTGCAACATTTTTTTCAATTATGCTCCGCTTTTATTGGTTATAGCACAGAGAACATAATATTACATAGTTATAGCGTCTTTTTTATGGATGATAATGAAATGGTGCACCTGCCTAAGCTGACGGTTTACGTTGGCGCGGGTCCAATGAAAAATAAGCATGAAGTTAGATCAGTTAGGCCCTTGTGACGCATTCACTAGGAATTAATCACGATGGTTTCGAGGGGAGACCGCGTGGAGGTCGACCTAGCATGGTAAATTGTTAGCAATGTACGGCAACTGTCCTCCATTACTAACAATCCCTTTCCCGCTTGTAGCGTGTTATTATATAACGTTAATATTATACCTTAATCTTTATGAAAGCAATTTTTTCATATATAGATATATAAATATATAATATATAGATATATAAAACAGTCAAATGCAGAGTTAGACAAATATCCACTTGTTATAATTAAGACCAATTATTATTATTATTATTATTTCATTTATTTCGGATATGTATCCATATTGGTGGGAAGGAGATTGTTAGTAATGTGGATTAATAGCCCCATTGCAAGCATGGTATCATTTTAAATTGACCTCCACGCGGGTCCTCCTCCATCTGGATAAATTCATGGTGAATTTATCACGATAAGATAATTAACATGCTCATCTTTTCAAACTCCACTGGTCAAACGTCAGCGTTAACCGTTAGCGCAGGAGGGTGCATCATACCATAAACATACGTAAGAAGTAACGACCAATGTTTTAAATGGAACACTTAGTTTTCAATAAAAAGATAAGACACGTATATATGTTAGAGTTGCCAACCGTCCTGTTTTCCCAGATTCCAAGTTTTGGAAGTGTCTTGGGAAGTCCTGAATAGTTATTTGGCAGCGACCTGGGTTTTTAAAATATGAGCGTCTCTTGATTACTGATTTTCAACAGTATATGTTTATCAAATTCTTTTTATTAAAAACCTGATTGTATTAATTACTTGAATTTTACTATATATTAATATAATTATAGCTACACTATTACTGCGTTCTGTTTTTAAACTGGATAGTCCTGGTTTTTTAAACTTTTAATCATGGTTTTTTAAATTTGGGCTTGGCAACCCTAATGTTCTATGTGGTGAATGAGTACAATGGCTGACCTGTCCCAATTTTGGGTATTCTTCACGATGATGATAAGAAGACTCTAGTATTTTTAGGCAAAGCGATATTTTCAATTCTTCTTACAAAAACAGTGGGATTTTTTTATTGAAAATTGGACTTCCAAATAAATCTGAACAATCAGTAAACTAACTAAAAAAAACTACAACTTTAAACAACTAAACTTCTACTAAAAATATAATACTACTGGTTATAGTCGAGTTTCTTATCAGCTTTTCTCAACTGAAGTAGCTAGGACTGGGCGGTGGGAATAGTGACAAAAATATGACATCCACAAGAACACTAAAGTTATTTTGTGTATAAATGACTTTGAGTTTTTGATTTGAGCAAGATCTGTGGAACAGCAACAATCCCCATAAAAAATAAGAAACTTATACTCATACTCAATTGTATGGTCTTTGTGGTTTAACGCACCGTCTTGCTTTCGACGATCGCAGGTTCAATTCATTGCACGGTACAATCCTTTGTATTCATGAGTATGATTGTCTGTATCAATCTGTGTGTTTTCTATATACATATTATGAATGTATTATCAAAATAATTATGTCTTTGTATATATGTCAATTGTCCAGAGCTCATAAAACAAACTCTGCTTGGCATGGGACTAGATACATTTTCTTTTAATTTTTATTATATTGTTAGCTGTGGTAACCTAAAGAGCTAATGATTATGGCGCTGTATGAATTGTCCTGAGGTATATATATGCGACCTAAACGAAAAGGTCACTAAAGTAGTTCCACTGAGAACTTAAATAAATATGTAGAAGCTTCATTTGTGTACATAATACGTATATAAGCAAGACAACTCAAACATAATAGCATGCATATGCACATGCACTTCATATATATTATATAATATTTATTAGTAACTTTATGTTTATTTTTGACATAACTGCCCCACAACGCTTTCTGTATACCTAAAGGTTAGCTGGGGGAGAATGCTATACGGCATTAAGCTCGCCGTTGTACATGTTATATTGTGCATTAAAGAATAAATAATAGAAATATACATGAAAATATGATGCTCATAATTACACTCTCTATCTACACTAACTGCTGTACTATTTTTTTTTAATAATATTTTAGTTATCCAGACAACAATTTAAAAACTCAGGGAAAACATTAAGAAAAAGCTGTATGGGGAAAACTCAAGTTGCAGAAGGTAAATACATTTTATTTAGTTTTATTCCCACATTCTCTTCTTCTCTCACTCTCATTTATGTTTTGCTTTTAATTTGTTACTTATTACAATTGTTTACGGCCTCGGTGGTCTAACGGTTTAGCACACCGCTTTACTTCCAATGGTCGCAGGTTCTATTACTCGGATCGTACAAACATTTGTATTCTGAGTATGATCGTTTGTATCGGTCGTGGTGTTTTTTGTGTATATTATATATGTACTTATAAAAACACGTATATATATCAGTATCTATTACACAAGCTCTGCCTACCTTTTTTTTTTATTGGGTTGTTTGGGCTATTGTCAGATGTGTAGCACCTGTAGCACTGCGACCTATATATCTAGAAAGAAAGAAAAACATTAAGATACACATCTTTTTATCTTCAAAGAGTGTAAACTTTCCAAAGTCCGTTTATGCATGAGTGGACAACCACATAATAACCCTCTTCAGTCTGCCTACCTTACTAAATGGACTAAATGGCGTTGTGTTTATTGTCCACGGTTATTAGAAAGAAAGAAAAACATTAAGATACACATCTTCTTCAGCATCTATAGTATGCACTACATAACCCAGACATATATTCCCATCCTAGGTCGCCACATTATTCTGTATGTCATCTAAAGTCATATATGCACACATACACATTTTTTATCTATCGTCTTGGTCACAGTATTCCATATATATAAAAACCCCGTCTATCAATATAATTTACATAATTTTAACAAAAATGGTTCTCTTACATTATACTTACTAAAAGTAAACAAATGATTTCTAATTACAGATTTAATCAAAGATATAGAACAAGGGACGTTCATCGAGGACAAAAACGTTATGTGCTACATGGGTTGTATTTACAAACTGTCGCAAATTGTGAGTATCATTATCTCTACATAGTATAAAATAAAGTCGCTGCTTATATCTGTCCCTATGTATGCTTAAATCTTTAAAACTACGCAATGGATTTTGAAGCAGTTTTTTGTCATAGATAGAGGTAATATATATATAAACCTCTATCTTACATGTACACCCATGCGAAGCCGGGGGAGTAGCTAGTTTTTTTATAATAACAATAAATATTCTACAATAAAAATACAAAACGATGTATTGTAGACAGGTTAAGGTAGAATTTTCGAGTTTTTACCACAAATACAAATGAAGTAAAGCATGCAAGTAAAACCACAAATAAATACTAACATAAAATAAGATTTCAGGTGAAAAATAACAAGCTAAATTATGAGGCTATGATAAAACAAATCGATCTGATGTACCCACCGGAACTGAAGGAAACCATGAAAAAATCAGTGGAAAACTGCAAAGATGTCCGTAAGTATTGGAAACTGTAATTATCATAATTAAATTGTTCTCTTTCTGATCGATTTATCTTAAAAATATTGTTTTTTCTTAAGAATTAGGCTATCAAAGGTATAATAGTTTAGAAATTTGTTTTTACAATAGCCCAATTTAAAAAAATGGGCTATTGTGAGTTACAAAGTAGCACCTGTGTTCTGATATTAAAAATATTGTTTTTCGTCAAGAATTAGGCCCTTAACAGTCCAAAAGATTTTATATAAAAAAAATAATAATCCAAAAGATTTTATAAAAAATAATAATAATAATAGTCCAAAATTAATTAACATATTATCAGCCACTAAGTAGCACCTGTAGCATTGTGAAGACTCTTTTCTGATCATTAATTGATCAGAAAAAATCTTAAAAATATTGGTTTACCTCTAGAATTAGACTATCAAACACATAATAATTTTTTAAATATTTTTTTTACTGACGGTTTTGGGCTATTTTTTTTTATGGATGATAATGGAATAGTGCACTCGCCTGCGCTAACGGTTTACGCTGGCGGGGCACCAGTGGAGGATGATAAGATGAGCATGAGGTCAGGTTGGTTAGCCCATCGTGATAAATTCACCAAGAATTTATCACGATGGTTTCCAGGGGGAACCGCGTAGAGGTATCTAAATAAATCTATTACGCTTTTTCAAAGTTTGTTACTTAGACCAATCAGGGACAAGAATTAAAGGATATTCTTAGGGGCAATGGTTTTTATCTCCTCAGGACAGAGTGTATACTTTCCAAACGAGATATTTCTTTCATACATGAGTGAGCTATAACCATATAGGATGTGTAGTGGTGTTTCCTCTTCAGCTTAGCAATATTTGCAGATTATGGTTTAAAAACGAAACGGTTAGTATCTAATTCAATTTTTTTCGGACTACTCTAATGCTGTTGGCCGCAGCTGGCCTTTACAGCTTCGCCGGACGTTAGGGGGCGAGTGCAGATGGCACTCCAAACCCGCAGAAGGACTTATGGAGCGGCTGAAGGCCAGCTCCTACCCGACGGATACAACTTTAGTATTAGGGTACCACTAGGGGGTTCGAACCTCGGCTCAGGCCGTCGTAATTTTAATCCCCGTTTGAATTGTATGGGGGATCGATCGGAGGGGGTCTAATTCTAATTAGTTTCTAACTATTTATGTTCCAGCCAAAAAATATGAAGATGTATGCGCGCAATCATTTTGGTTTACGAAGTGCGTTTACGAAGATGACCCCAAGAATTTCATTTACGTCTAACATACAAATAAAATAAGTATACCATTTTCAATGTTTCAAGTTAAAATAATAGTACGTTTTAATTCACGATAAATTTTGGAAAATTTATGTAAATACTTATATTCACTAAATATTATGTACATAGTTTGTAATATTTATATGTAAGTGATTTGTTAAAATCTTATAAGAAATAAAAACTTTTAAACCGAATTTAAACTATTAAAAATATGACAACACAATAGTTATTGCAAATAAGTATATTATTTTCTGAATAACTAATTTTGTGTTTATTTCTAAACTAGCTACTCGCCCTGACTTCATCCGGGTGTACATATATTACATATATAAACCTTCCTCTTAAATCCCTGTATCTATTAAAAAAACTGCTACAAAATCCGTTGCGTAGTTTTAAAGATTTAAGCATACATAGGGACGGGCAGACAGCGACAGCGACTTTGTTTTATACTATGTAATGATACACGGGTCAAAAACAGGGTTAGCTCTAGCTAGTTGACAATAAATACATTTACAAACTAATGGATCTTCAGTTTAGAATTGATAATAAATCTTAAGCTCTGTTTTTGTTAGAAATAAAAACCGTGAAGTCTTCCACTGTACTATAAAAACAATATGATAATACTATTACAGATAAAACGGTCAAGTGTGAGATGTAATGCATGCGTAATGGTATTTTGGTTTACGAAGTGCGTTTACGAAGATATTATTTTCTGGTTCACTAAATATTATGTACATAGTTTGTAATATTTATATGTAAGTGATTTGTTAAAATCTTATAAGAAAGAAATTAAAACATTTAAACCGAATTTAAACTGTTAAAACAACACAATAGTTATTGCAAATAGGTATATTATTTTTCTGAATAACTAAAATTGTGTTTATTTTTAAACTAGCTACATATTGTTCGACCATCCCCTTTCCTCATATCCCATTTCTAATTCCACACCTCCTTAAAAGGCCGGTAACTCACCTATAAGACTCTGGTGTTGTGGGTGATCATGGTCGGCGGTAATCATTAACAACCAGCCTATATTATAAATAATAAAGTAATCGTGAAAAGGTTATAAACAGACAGTTAAAATATATAGTGTAGATAGTAAAAGTATTGTTTAACTATTTACTCGCCCCGGCTTCGCACGGGTGTACATGTATTATATATATAAACCTTCCTCTTGAATCGCTATATCTATTAAAAAGAACATCAAAATTCGTTGCGTAGTTTTAAAGATTTATGCAATATAGTGACAAACAGCGACAGCGACAACGCTTTTGTTTTATACTATATAATGATATATACTGATATTAGTATAGATGTAATGATTATTGGAAAAATAAACAAGGTATATAAAACCGGTTCTGTTTTGTTACAGCCGTTGGCAACACTATATATATGTAGGTATTTAGCAGTAATATAATGTTATATTTATGCTCCATCGCCAAGAGCGTAGCTCTTAAATTATGAATGAATGAATGAATGTTATATACGACAACAATGTCTGTTCATCATATTCTTGTTACATATTATACGCTCAATGGTTTAATTCTTACTTATATTATAAACTTGAAGCTTCATGAGTGTGAATGAATGGATATTTGTTACTCTGTCACGCTAAAACTACTAAATGTATTTTAATGAAACTACAATCGTGCAACTTATACATCAGAATAACATATAGGGTATAAATTTGACGCAGGAGAAATTCTGGACATAGCTAGTAATAAATTGTAAACGCCAAAATAATATGAAAGTTAGAAACATGGCTTTTATTATTGCGTCACCGTCACCCAAGCAGGGAGATACAGCCTTGATAAACAGCTAAAATAATACATGCGCTCAACAATTCAAAAAACGGAACCCTAAAATCAATTTGCTACTTTTTACTAATGAATAACAAACTTCTGCAATTGCTTTTTATTCGCTGCTGGTGATTCATTGAGATTTAAATGTAAACATATTTTTGAGATGAATTAGTTCCGTGCTTAATCTGTTAATGTTTTTATCTTGTTGCTAACGTGCTATTATTATTCCGGTGTCAGTTTTTTTTGTTCATTATGTAATCTACGATTTTCTTTGTTTAAAAAAACACCATATGTTTGGGGCCATAAGGTACATTATTAATAATTCTCTTACGCCTCCGTACTATGTTTGTTAATAATATACAATAATATCTCAGGAAAATTTACACAACGCCATCTAGTCCTAAACTAAGCAGAGCTTATGTTATGGGTACTAGACAACTGACATAAATATTATACATAGATAACAACCAGACCGATACAAACAATCACACTCATTAATACAAATGTTTGTACCGTGCGAGGAATCGAACCCGCGACCATCGGATAATATAGCGGTATTTTACACCACTAGACTACTGAGGCTGTCATCATCATTGTTTGTTTCAACATTTTAATCTCCAGAATTACGAGACGCATTAGAAAGAAATATTTTAGGGCAGTAAAGTGCCTCGAGCATAGTTGAAGGTTATTTAATATATGCTACAAAGCTTTTGTGAGGAAGGGGATTGTTAGTAATATGGACTAATAACCCCATTGCTATCAATGTATCATGTTAGACTCCATGCGATTTTTCTGGTAAGTATCGTGGTAAATTGTCATTAGCCAAGATGGGCTGACCTTATGCTTATTTTATCATCCTCTACTGGTGCCCCACCAGCGTAAACCGTTGGCACAATTCCATCATCATCCATAAAAAAAAGCTACAACCATCACAGGCTGAGAAAAAGAAAAACATGCATTTCAAAATAGTGTAACTACAGGATTTTAGAAGGATCTTAGAAGGTACCTTAAAAGAATTGGCGAATGGGTGTATCGGATCATATCAAAATCCTGTAGTTACACTATTTTGAAATACATGTCCTTGTAAAAACAGACCATAGTCTGTTTTTACAAAGGCAGAAATTTATTTATTTATTAAAGGAAAACCAAGGCTATTTAAGTATATCTTAAATATAATCAATATAGACGTCATACTAAGCCACTGACAGGCTTTCACTAATAACAACAAACTAATTCTAAAAAATTACACCACTACCTAAAATGGCAACACATAAAGTTAACAGAGAATATGATGGAAACAACGTCTACGTAGTTATTGAAAAGATATATGTTGCGGAAAATTCAAATATAAGTCTAAAATAAAACTATACGATTCATCAAACCGATATCGCAGTACTGCCCCGCTACGACTGATAACTGCATATTATAGTATTTGAAAATTATACATTTACACATCAAGTATCCGAGATTAAAAAACAAACTATAAAAATACCGTACCCACAGATTATAAAACAAGCAGTGTTGCAAACTCTTTGCACATTTTTATATGTTTAATTTTCTGCCAATTTTAAATGTATATTCTTTAGAATTGTCATATATTTTATTATCACTTTTTGCCTTACAACCGTTTGTACACGTATCTTCATTATAAGTATTAACCATTTTCTATCCATTGTTTGATTTACATCACACATACAGTCCACTCATTCTATCGCCCACATTTTGGTCCTACTTCGGTAGAATTCCAACATTTACATCCAACAAGCAGTATCTGTTTCAACTTTGATATTGGCAAAATCATCGAAACTCCGATAGAGATATTAAAAAAAAAACAGACTGTAGACTGTAACCTTGCGGCTGAGCTAGTAGGATAACATAAATAAGAAAAGTAGCGTCCGCTAGTACAGTACAATTTGTGCACGATCATTCTCTTAGCGACTATCTGTTACCTACACACCTAATTCTCACGTAATTAGCCACGCTTCATAATTGTATATACACTCCACAGATGTCTTATCTTGATTCAACGCGCTGTAATTATACTCCGATTATAAATGTATGGGTTCATATTTTTATTACACGTGTTGTAGGGTTCTCTAGCAGATATTAGATGTCTTGCAATCAGTCACATGGACTATAAGCAGATGTGGTGTTCCGTATGTAACAGGTAGAGTGCCGCTCTCAGTAGAACAGCTCCTCACTCTTAAAAAGTCAGTCCTGTCTGACTATCTTGGTCAAATATATCACGCCTAGCAGATTATGTATTCTTATTTCCTTACTAATAATATAATACCTAACTCTGTCTGTCTGTCTGTCTCGCTTTCACGTCAAAACTACTGGACCGATTTAGATGAAATTTGTTAAGCAGATAGTTTAGAACCTGAGAAAGGACATAGGTTACTTTTTAATAAGATAAAAGGGTTGTAAGGGGTTAATAGGCAAAATGAAAGTTTCTATGGAAGTAACTCATATTTAAGCGCTAATACTTGAAACATATTTTAAGCTTGATGGTTGATTAAATATAAATAAATATGATATTCAAAGTTTGTAGAAATTGTACACTAACAAAGGTTTTTGTGGAAAATTATCATTTATGAAGCTAGGACAATGAAACTTTTTTCTTTGGGTGTGATTATTGTTAATTTTTCATTATTTGGTCGAGGTCACTATAACTCGCGGACGAAGTCGCGGGCATCGCTAGTTCTGTATAAAGATCGACAGCAAAAACAACCATAATACATACAATACATAAGTACAAAAAGTTAGTACAAGTTGAAATCAAAACTTATCACATTTATTAATCTAGAATCGATTAAACCAAATTGGCACCTAGGAAATGTACCTGGATGTCCTTCATACAGGCCATTATAATGACTTCGTAAGGACACCAGTTACATTTTAATGTTGACACTTGTTGACTATCATTCTTTATTTTTTTTTACGTACGGAAAATCTTCAAAAGGCCCTTACCCCGGAGGTGGGATGGCGGGGTGGTGAGTGGGATAACCCGCGTGAAACTTGAGGAAGATATATGTCTACAAGTTGCCACTTGATTGCCACTTGACACACAAAAGATATACTATATTCTTCTCCCAAATGCTATTGAAACCTTTATTCCAAAATGCCTATTGGTTAAGCCAAACATACATGAAACCTTAACAAATATATCAGCTCTACCAAACGACTTAATAATATTAGTTATGATTGAAGTAGGCACCTATTGCCATAATAGGTACTCTGTATTTATACCTAATTATTTCTTATAATGACTGCAGAATACCTAATAGCCTTAATAGCCTTAACTGTCAATCAAATTTTATATCTATAAGGTTGGGTACACATTTCCGGTAAGAATTGAACGAACTTGCCAACGATGCCATCTGATTGGCGCATTAGTTAATACACTCCCCCCATTCGTTGTTCAATTGGCGTATTTGCAAAAGGGCCAATTGAACGACGCCACCATCAGCACGGTTTGTCCGGACTGAACTATTTTTTTTGGACTACTCTTATATTCTACAGCTGGCTTTTACAGCTTCAGCGGACAATAGGGGGCGAGTGCAGATGGACAGAAGGACTTATGGAGCAGCTGAAGGCCAACTCCCGGCTGACGGAGACGACTTTATTCTGAGGGCACCGGTAGGGATTCGAAAGTCGGCTCAGCGGGGGGGACTGAATTTATAATGTGAGCCCAGACTAATACCATATATTATCTGTGCTAATACGAAGCCGCTTGCTTTGTTTATGTAATCGGGTTTGTAGTATTAATAATTTTTAGCAGCTTATATTTTTTGTGAGGTTGACATTGTATTTGTAATCAAGAAATGAAATCTTGCTAGATTAGTAATAAAAAAAAAATTAATAGTATAAAGAGGGGAAGATTTTTTTTATGTTGTTTATCTTAAACATACTCGACTGATCTTGGAAAACTACAGTTATAGAACGAATTTTTTTTTACTGAATGGTAATGGAATACTTCCGTGCACGTGCACTAAAACACAGGTTTACGCTGGCAGGGCACCAGAGGAGGAGTGATAAGATGACCATGAGATCAGGTCAGTTAGGCCGACGTGACAAATTCACCAGGAATTGATCATGATGGTTTCCAAAAGAAACTGCGTGGAAGCAACCTGACATGGTCTTTGCTAGCAATGAGGTCATCAGTCCACAGTACTAACAATCCCCTTTCCCCCAGAACACTACATTATGAGGCTACTCAGGCCCTAATCAGTTCCTATCAATCCTACTAGGATTGATAGTAATAAAATTTCCAGATAAATGGCCTGGTGGTCAAAAGTACCTAAAATATAGTACTGATTAAATAACGATGGCTAACTCTATCGTAAGGGGAGGGAGAGGTTGTGGTAACGGGCTGTATTATTAATAATATGGACTAGTGATTTCTAAGAATTTTGTGTGAATACAAACTTGACGACCTCGGTGGTCTAGCGGTCAAGCACACCGGTTTACGACCGATGGTCGCGGGTTCGATTCCTCGCACGGCACAAACATTTGTATTCTTGAGTATGATTGTTTGTATCGGACTGGGTGTTTTCTATTTATATTATGTATGTATTTACAAAAAAAAATATCTATGTATATGTATCAGTTATCTAGTACCCATAACACAAGCTCTAGCTAGCTTAACTTGGGTCTAGATGGCGCTGTGTGAATTGTCCTGGGATTATTATTAAACTGCCAAATAGCAACGGTGATATGTACTTACTAACAACCAATAAATGTGTTTTGCCGCGCAAAGTTCAGATGACGTAAATTGAATTTAACTGTCAAGTCAAATAATAGTTAACCTACTCAAATATTATTGTCACTGAACGCAACATTGTTTGAGAGATGTGTTTCTCAAAGTAGGTACATTAATATTGAATACATAAGTATCTATGTAGTAAGAAATAAATTAGGAAAACAAACTACCTATCTACAATACTTAAAATTCAGATTGTTATTTTGAAATGGTGAATTTCCTATGACCGTATATGAAATAAGTTACTCAAGGTTTTTTTTTATTATAAATGATTATGGTGCACCGTGCTGTGCTAACACCCTGGCGTACCAGCGTAGGATGATATGAGTATGAGGTAAGGCCAGTTAGTCCATCGTGGCAAATTCACCAGTATCCAGGGGAACCGCATAAAGGTCAAACTGACATTGCTAGCAATTGGGGTTAGTCATCCACATTACTAACATATTGTATAAAAAAAAGTTAAAATAAAAATATCAATTCTATAATCTCAATGAGTAGGTCAGCTCATGGTACAGAATCCAATTCACATCGTCTACGATGTAACTGAAATTCCTATATGGTTTGCAGGGGGGTCCCCCCCTGTGGAGGTAAAATTGACATTGCTAGTATTGTGGCCTAACAACCTACCTCTGAACGCAATTTTTTTTTAATGTATGATTATATGTAGAATAATGCATCCGCCTGCTCTGCATGGTAAACGCTGTCAGGGTATGTGGAGTGGACGATGATAAGACGAGCAGGAAGCCAGATTAGTAGGCCGTTATGGCAAATTCACCAGAAATTTACTACGATGCTTGCCAGAGGGACTTCGTAGAGATCTCACATATTACATTATGTTTATTACTAACAAAGCCTTTCATCCTCCATTCCTCCTATATGTATATATATAACTATATAAGCTATAAGCAACTACAGATGCGTAAAAGCCAGTTAACTCAATTGATATATTAAAAAAATGACATACAATTATGTAATAAAAAAATGAGGAATAGGCTTTCTGACAAATAATGAATTACCTCATTATATATACCTGACACTATTAAACTAATGTAACTATTATTGGACGCAAGCCCATCATTATATTTGTTTGTAAAACAAAACAATGGCTCACGTTTGAAACAACCTTCTGGGTTTTTGCTTTTTTTAATATAAGATTCTTTTTTTGTTGCTCCGATATGTGTGTGAGGAACAAATTTGTATTAGTCACTAATATAGTATATATAAGTGGCGGTTATTTAATTAATGAACATATTCACAGGTGTGTATCGAAGGTGTAGGTACGAGTATATGGTGAGACTGTAATTTCGTTGTATTAAACATGAAATCGTTTTTGTATTTCGGTGTACTTATTGTTGCATTAAGCAATGTTACGGTGAGTAATTATTGTTTATTGGTAATTTAGGTGTAGGTTTATTTTGGTGAATATTCATTCAATTGTTTAATTTTATAATATATTTAAATTGATATCTAGTAATTAATAAGTACAAAATTGTTTCAATGTTGTTAAGATTAAGGTTGTTTGTGTTCTATATATACATTTATATACCAAAATTTAATTTATTTTATATAAGTTCTGTTTAGTTTAGAACTAGATGGCGTTGTATAATATTAACAAGTTATTTATTTTTAATTTAACTTTTAATTAATTTAAATTAAACAAGCATACGGCCCATCTGATGGTAAATGGTTATTAATAATACTATTGAATTTTGCAGGCTTTAACTCAAGAAGAGTTGGACAAGATTCGAGCACCCATGCTGAAGTTCATCAAGGAGTGCAGCGCAGAATATGGAGTCTCAGACGAGCAGTTGAAAGAAATCAAAGAATCCGGCAACATTGTTGGTGTCGATCCTTGTCATATCGGCTGTGTGTTTAAGAAATCTGGATTTGTGAGTAAAACGTTTTTCTATAGTTTATACACTATCGATAACAGCTTTATCTGAAACTTCTAAGGATCATGCCATATTCAACCACACATACTTTTGTCCACCAATAGCATTCAAAGAAGCAAGCACAAGATATTTTTTGTTAATTTAGAATTGTCTTGTCTGAGACAAGTGAATGCAACATATGACTCAAAAAAAAAAGCAGGCAAGTACTGTAACTTAGTACAAAAATAGCGAAGCATTTATACTTTTTTCAACCAACATCAAAAATAGGAAGTGTGTCTTAATCTGTTAACCGAGCGGGACGTATAAATACGTCAAACTGGCATGGCAAATTATAAGGTCGCCAGTTCCCATGTAATAACCTCCATTTCTGCAAATAAAATAAAAGAAAATTATTTCATAAAATTTCCAGATTGACGGCGATGGAAAATTTTTGCCTGACAAAATTAAGGAAATTAGCAAGAAATACTTGAGCAATGAAGAAGACATCGCCAAATTTGCAACAGTTGTTGACACTTGCTCAGCAGGTAAGTTGGAATAACTTAAACATATTCAGAATGATGTCTTATAGATTTATCAGTTTAGTATTTAGGTATAAATGCGTTTCATACATTATAATATATAAATTTCTATATAATATCTATTTATATATATGGAAAAAACATCTGTAACACAGATATTCCCAAGATGAATAAATATCATTATTAATACATTATTATATATAAGTCATTTCTATAAACGTTACGTTATTGAAACCTTCAAGAGAAAAGCTTATTCCTTCTTAAAAGGCCGGCAACGCACTTGCAATTTCCCTAGTGTTGCGAGTGCTCATGGGTGGCGGTAATCATTTACCATCAGGTGAGCCGCAAGCTCATTCGTGATGATAGTGGATCTTACAAATAAATAGATAACTTTTATTCCTAACATTAATAAGTTAACAAGCATACACAATAATAAAGAAAAAGCATACACAGTTGGCAATAGTAGCTGTTTCAGCTGTAGCTAATAGAAGCATAACGGGGAAAAGATTGTTAGTAATGTGGACTCATGACCCCATTACTAGCAATGTACCATGTCAGGTTGACATCCACGCGGTTCCCCCTGGAAACCATCATAATAAATTCCTGATGAATTTGTCACGATGGGCCTGACCTTATGTTTATCTTATAATCCTTCACTGATGCCCCGCCAGCGTAAACCGTTAGCGCAGGCGGGAGCACTATTCCACTATCATCCATAAAAAATATATATAAGCACAACCTCAATGAAGTGCGTCTGTATAGCGCTGGTTTTCAGGCAGGTATTCATGAAAAACATAACAGACGCGCCGGTTTATATAATTTACTATTAAATGTAATTATTTCTAAATGTATAATTATATAATAATAGTAATGCTCGAATAATTTCATTGATGTGGAATTCGTGCAAATGTAATTTTAAATGACATGAACTGAGATTTATATGTTTTAAATCTATAGAGTAACTAGCTGACCCCGCAAAAGATAATTTGCCATATAAATTAAAATCGCTATTAAATTTCATAAAAAATCAGTCAAGCCGTTTCGGAGGAGTATGGTAACTAAAACTGTGACACCAGAATGTTATATATAAGATTTAAATAAATTTATATTATAGTCAATAATATACATATAAGTAAATCCATGTTACCTAAACAGCTAGACCACTGAGATCGACAAATTAAAAATCAACACCGAACAAACCGAACTTACAAAGCAAAGCCGCAGTGCAGTTTTTAGGAGAAACATGAAAAATAGTAACACATTCAGACAAACACAAATCTACTTTTTTTAGATAGTTTCATATGTCGCAGTGGTATATATAGGCAACAGGCAACCAACTCAGCGTCATCATCTGCTTCTTCCTTATCCCATTTATTTGGGGTCGGCGTAATATGTTTTTCTCTTCTATTCATCTCTGTTTATTTATTTAGGATCCAAAAAAAAAGTTCGTAATTAGAAAACTTATAATTATTTTACATTTTCTATGTACTAAGTTATTATTATTGTAAACCCAACATGCATGATCACAAATTATATTAAAGTATTAAGATAAGTATGTGAGTCGCATACAAACTAATATATTTTCTACTTATAATTATGATCATATACACCATATGTAGTAGGTTGAATGAGGAAAAGAGATATGAGATATGTGTGTGCATCAGTGTGACTAAGAAAAAAGAAGGAATTATATTGAGTAACATTTTTTTTATTAAAAAAAAAATATTACTGCCTTTCTTACCATATAATCTTTCATACAGTCAATCCATTTCTTTTTCGGCATAGCAGCATAAAGCTACTGATAAACCTGAGGCGCTGATATTATTTCGGCCTAGCAGTAACACACCGCTTAGCTTGCGATGGTCGCAGCTTTGATTACAGACGTTTGTATTCATTAGTCTAATTATTTGTATATGTCTGGATGTTTTACATTAGTTGTCTAGTATCTATAACACAAGATCGCGCTGTATGAAATTGTTTGAGATATTATTGTTAGTCTACTGACTCCCATTTTAATATATGTATATTCGTATGTGCATTATACTTCAAGAATCACATAAAAATCTGTTAGCTGCGAAAAAGTAAGGATTCAACAGATACACTTTTGAGTTTATAGTGTTATTATTTATGAGAATGTTTGGAACAGATATATACTAAATCATATTTGATTTCCAGTTAACAACGAGGAAGTGACCGGTGGTGACCCATCGTGCATTAGATCCAAGATCGTGTTGGAGTGCTACAATAAACACAGACAGGAGCTGGTAAGGACTTTCTTTATTTATTTATTTTAGGTAATCAACAGCTTATACAATTTATAGACAATATATAGTATTACATAGTTAGTAAAGTCAATAACAGATACCTCATGAATTTATCTTTAATATTAAAGTTATATTTAAATTGGTTATTTAAAAACAATACAGTTTTTAATATCTATAGTATTAGCTTTGTACGGGTGTACATGTTATATATATAAACATTCCTCTTGAATCAAATTATCTATTAAAAAACCGCTTCAATATCCGTTGCGTAGTTTTAAAGATTTAAGCATAAATAGGGACGGACAGACAGCGACAGCGTCTTTGTTTTATACTGTGTAATAATAATAATAATGATGATAACGATAATGTAATATCTTACTAATATTATAAACGCGAAATAATGTGAGTATGGATGGATGGATGGATGAATGTTTATTACTCTTTCACGCAAAAACTAAGGAACGTATTTTGATGAAACTTTACAGTAATATAGCTTATACATCAGAATAACACATGCGGGTGAAACCACTGGCACAGCTAGTGATATATGTTTTTATTTTGTTTTTCTTTTCAGATCAAAGTGTCCAGCTAAGTACAGGACGACACGAGAACGCCATTTTGAAAATCTATTATATAAAGACAATCTTGTTAATTGAAACAATTTTCATTATAATTGTGAAATATATTTGTATTAAATGTGATTATTTGTAATAAATTACTAAGTATTTCTACTTGTTTGTAATAAATTATGAAATAAATATTATTTTGTTATCCTTATATATACAATCCTTATATATTCTGACTTTTAAACGACTAAATCTATAGGCTGATTATGATATTTTTCGGTGTATGTTTTAGTTTTCCTTAGAAGCTACATTGCTACAGATATATCAAAAAGAACTAAGAATAAAAAATACTCTCTATTTGGTTTTAGATATAATAACACAACAACAATAGCTACTCTCTGTGACAGCCTCGGTGGTATATCGGTTTTGCACACCGCTTTACTTCCGATGGTCGCGGGTACGATTCCTCGCTCAGTGCAATCATTTGTATTCATGATTGTGTCGGTCTGGGTTTTTTATATATATTATGTATACACTTAAAATATATATTTATATCATTGCCTAGTACCCATAGCACAAGTTCTGTATAACTTGGATGGCGGTGTGTAAATTGTCCTGAGATATTATTATAAGCATTATTATTTATACTCATTTTAAGTTAATTGGCTGAGCAAAGTTACGAGGATACCTATCTTATTGTTAACATAGACTAAAATGTCAATCTGACATGCTACCTAGGAGGGGAATGGGATTGTGAGTATTGTGGCCTCATAACCCTATTGCTAGCATATCAGGTACCATATCAGGTTAACCATGTGGTTCAAATTTCAAAAGTTCATAGTGGATTTATCACGATGGGCTAACTGACCAGACCTCATGATCATATTATTATCCTCCACTGGTGCCCCGCCAGCGTAGACCGTTAGCGCAGGCGGGTGCACCATTTCATTGACACCCAACGACCAAGACTTGCTACTTAGATCTGCTAATTGCATTACATTTAGGAAATTAGGAAAGTAGCAATTAAATGTAACAAGACAAGAAATGATATTAGCACTAAGGATTAATTTAGCCATATTTGGTAATGATTCTAAAGAAAAAGTAATATCAATAGTAACATGTAAAACATTGACAATGTTCGTAAGTCACAGCGTCGCTAAATGTCAAGAAAATCTTGATCCTTGTCATTTCTACTACGTAAATACAACAGAAAATCCGAGTGATTGTTGTTGATCCGAAACCTGTCTAGAGGTTTGTACCTGACGAGAAAAACGCGCAAACGTAATGTTTCGATATTCAGTAATTTCACTGCATAGAGTCACGTGGGGCAAGTGTGCGCACTTAAGGTTTGAAGTATCATATAATAAAATTTTTGAAGTTAACTATAAAATATTTAATAATCAACAACTTAAACGCAAAATAAATAATTATCATTTACACAAATTCTTTGGAAATCAACAAAATCAAAACTGTTTATGCGCACACTTACCCAAGTATAGGGGTGTGATAGTGCGGGTAAGTGTACGCAACATGTAACATACAGTAAATAGAGTCAGACTCATATGATAAACCAGAAAATAGACATCCTCAACCTAATAATACATCAGTTCAAATAATTCCTTTTCAAAGTTATTGCATTGTTCATGCCACCAGCTCTTACAGATGCTGTATTGGATCCAGTCTTCATTCGGTGGAAATATGTATTTTTCTCCACACAGTGGGCAAAATAATTCCTGCTCATCATTTTATTTATTTTCAATCAAGTCGTATCTTCTTTTTTGGCAATTTATTCTTCCTCTTGTTTTTTGTTTTTCCAATTCTACTTTATAAGGACTTACAGTATCAATGATTGACTTTTTGCCTTTCTTTCGCCGATTTTGAATCACAGTCATTCATCCAAGAAATGCCTAAGGCCAACTTCGGTATTTCTTGGATGGATGACAGTCGTACATATTCATTCCTAGACGAAGGTACACTCATTATTGCGGGTGCCACACTGTCGTTTGCTACCAACCTCCGAAATTAATCTTTTAACAGCTTCTAGCTGTTCCTCTGTGACAACACTTCTATCCGGCATTTCTTTTATAATCGAGGCATTTTTTATGTATAATTAAACTCTGAAATAGCAAATTGCATCATAAATACAACGCCAAAGCGGAGCGGGGTCCTTCGCATGCGCACACTTATCCGACATTCGTATGCGCACACTTACCCCAAACCATCAAAATAAAATTTAACCAGAACTGAGCAATATTACGTAATCGTCATCACCAAAAGATTAAACACGGCTTATATTACATAAAATGTACTGTTCGATGGTATAAAGCATGATTTCAAAATATAAATATATTACAAAGGAATGAGTCTCTCATTTAAGACAAAAATCGCAATATTCACTTACGGATCAAGCAAAAAACAATACTCACTTACGGAAACAAAATGGTTCACTGGCGGACAGTGAAAAAGTTGCACTAAGTATAGCCTTTTGTGCGCTAATGAGGAGGGGTGTTATCAGTTCGTACCTATAAACCGTTTTTGAAATACTTTGAGTGCGTACACTTACCCGCTGCGCACACTTGCCCCACGTGACTCTATATTAATCTTTACACCCATATTAATCTTTACAATCTTTACACCTACCTTGGATGTAGATAGTCCATCTCGGCCTTTAGGAATATCTCTATCCTAAACACTTAGATTATGAATTGTATTCTCTCTGGATTTCAAACACGACATCCTATAGTTATTACGAATAAATATCCAAAAGGTTTCTTCACACAGTACACAGCTAAATATCCTTGTATTGCAGCCTTCTGTAATCACAATACTTGTAAATTTGCTTGGCACCATTTGTCAGTAAAATCACAGATAATATTCTCATATTATCTGTGATTTTACTGACAAATGGTTGAGACGTTGAGACGTTGAGACGGTGGTTTCGTCTATTGATAGCAGATTACTTGTTCTGTTAAAATTGAGAGGTCATAAATAACACAGTTACAGTAATGTTCCGGTTTGTGCTTAAATGTCTAAAATCTGAATACTTTATAATTTATTTTTAATATTCAGATATTCGTAAATGAATATATATTTGATGTTAGGTATAAATCATACCATTTATTTATTAATGTACCAACAACATAGATAGATAAACAAAGCTTAATTTGCACAATGTTTACAATCTGTGTCCTGCAAAACTCGTGTTTCTCTCCGCAAGGTTTGTGTGCTTTGAATTTATTAAATGTTTACGAGTTTAAACTTAATTTATAAATTTAATTTTATAAACTCGTAAACATGTTGTATAATAACAAAATACTTGCAAGTTACTAACACACGCCGTATTACATAAATATAATTAAGATATTTAATTAAAAAATATAAACCTTTATAACAACACAAATTTCAAATACAGGTAATTTAAAAACTTCAATAAAATAGATGTAAATGAGTATAAAATTTTACAATAAGATATTAAAGGATATTCCTACTCATTGTACCTTTATATAATTTTAAAAAAAATGTGCGAAAGTAAATACTTCTTGTGCCAATTATTTACTTACGATTACGATACCATATTGGAACCTCCAAAAACTGGCAACTTACTTGCAATATTTTTACTGCTATAGATGCTCATGAGCTGCTGGTAATCACTTACCATCATGTAAGCTAAAAAATTTAATAAGAAAGACGGACGGAAACACTAAACATAATTATGTTTGAATTAACTACAATGAACAATCTAAAAAAATAAATTGTCATTCTTGATTCACAGTTGACGACTAAATAAATAATAATAATTTCTCAGGACAATTTCACACAGCGTCATCTAGTCCCACGCTTAGCAGAGCTTGTATTATAGGTACTAGACAATTGATGTAAATACATAGGTACAATCAATCAAAATCAAATTAAAATATCTTTATTCATGTCTATTACATTATTAGGTCTATTATAGACTCTTTTGATATGTCAAATCGTCAGTTCGGAATGCTTGCGGAATGCTTTCGAGCTGAGAAAAAATGACATGATACTCTTGCCTTTGTAAATACATACATAATATATATAGAAAAACCAGGACCGCTACAAACAATTGTACTAATGAATACAAACGTTTGTGCCGTGTGAGTAATCGAATCAGCTACCTTCGGAAGTAAAGCGGTGTGGAGTGCTAAACCGCTAGACTACCTAGGCTCTCGACAAACATGAATAAGGCAGACAAATTAAGAACATGCTAGTTTTGAAAAATGTTAAGGCTCAAACTTTGCCCTGGGCGCCTCCCGTGGCAGAGAGTATTCAATCTCAGCAATTGGACAGTGTTGACGGCTCTGTTTACAGAGCAACCAAAGTTCATACCCCCCTATGGTGCCGCGCAGCTGTCAAATCGAGGAAAACTGCGGCGACACCCAAGTAGAAGTTGGGGTTCCGTCGAAATCGTCGCCTGAGACCATCTAATAACACAAACAAAAAGCGAGACGAATTATGAACAGGCTCATTTTTAAAGTCGTTAAAAATCGTCGTCTCATTATAAAGTGGTGACACTTCGAAATTAACGAACACATAACAACAAATACAACAATGAAACAACAAAAGCACATCATTACAAAATCAGCAAATCAAAATAAACGGGCATCGTTTCAAATTACCTCTTGGGTTTTTGCGTTTTTATTATAGTGCTTTTTGCAACCTAGACTAGGTAAATAGCATTGTGGAGGATAGATAACGATCTACAAATTACTCTTAGAGGGTTATATATATAAATGTGATATGAATCTGAAATCACACTTGACGTAAACCTACAAGGGTCAGGTTTATCGTGTATGTTGTGTTGTTCACTTACTGAAAATGAAATCATTTCTATGTTTGGTGATATTAAGCATTGCTGCTAGCAATGTAACAGTGAGTATATACCATTTTTAAAGAAAGTTGTGCATCTTTACATAGGATAAAACAAAGTCGTCGTCACTGTTTGTTCGCTTAGGTATATCTTAAAATTAGGTAACGGATTTTAATGCAGTTTTCGACAATAGATAGAGTGAATCAAAACGAAGGTTTATACGTATAATACATGTGTGTTATCGTATAGTATAAGCCGAGAAATTCAAAGATTTGTAATCCATTTGTGCGCAGTTAGAAGAAAATAAAATCGGCGAGCCGTCTGTTCGTTTATATCTTTTAAGTTACGCAACGGATTTTAGTGTGGTTTCAACAATACAGAGTAATTCAAGAGGAAGGTTTATGTGTATAACACATACATTTTATAGTATAGAATAAGCCGAGTGGATCAAAGATTTGTAATGCCGGGTTGATAGTTACGTAGTATAAAACATAGTCGCCGTTGTTGTCTGTTCGCTAATATCTCTTAAGTTTTAATATAGTTTTTAGTAATGGATAGAGTAATTCAAGAGGAAGGTTTATATATATGATACATGTGTGTATGTACAGAATAAGCCGAGATATTTAAATATTTGTAATGCATCTGTGCGAAGCCGGGATTATCCGCTAGTTACATAGTGGTGGGTAACAGCTAGTTAATTAATAAATTTAATCATACACTGATTGTTTGTTTTTTATTAATGGAAACAAAATTATGCACTTTTTATGCTATTTTTTACCATATAGTTTAATTTTTGACTTAAATAAAATAGTAATGCTTGCCACCAACTGTCCCTTTTGTATGCTACATGAACATATACAGCCCTCTCTATTCCTCCACGGTACTCTATAGAAAATCATAAAGCAGTCATATCTTATATATAAAATTCTCGTGTCACAGTTTTCGTTCCCATATTCCTCCAAAACTTACTTTTTAGACAAAATTTTTAATTTCTATTTATTTATGATACAACATACAAAAATACATACAATCCTAAATTTTCACCCTTCTATCATCAACCCATATTTTTTTTATAGCGTTATTAATTTATATGGCAAAACAATGTTTGCCGGGACAGCTAGTATTCTATAAAGGTTTGCTAATAAAATCGTTACATATGTGTATATCATGGTTAAATTGAGGAGATAAATTAAAACGCCATGATGGTATTTTCACATCTCTGTAATAAATTAATAATATATTTATTTAAAACAAATGATTGCTACGCCTTCGAAAATGAAAATAAATACAAAATAGTTTGTATGTCTCGTACATCATTTAAACATGATGTGACAGGTTTGGGGGAATATGTAAAAATTCGCAAATACGTGAATAATAATATTCAGAAAGAAATTTTCATTTATGTGCGGTATTATTTTTTATATTGCCCCAAAACTGGTCACATTATGTTTAATTTAACATTCTACTGGACTATTTAAGTGAGTAAGTAACAAACTGACAATTCGAATATCTTATTTCTTTATTAAGGCCCTAACCAATGAGGAATTGGAGAAGATCCACGCCTCAATGCTGAAGTTCGTTGAAGAGTGCAGTGAAGAGCACGGTGTGTCAGTTGATGAGTTGAAGGCAGCCAAAGAATCTGGTAACGTCGATTCAATAGAGCCTTGTATCATTGGCTGCGTATTTAAGAAAGCTAGTTTTGTGAGTACCTCTAGACATTTATATACATATATAAACTTTTACTCGAGGCTTCGCTCGCGTTAATTTATCCCTTTAGGGGTGGAATTTATCAAAATATTTTCTAGGGGATGCCTACGTCATAATAACTTTATGCATGCAAATTCTCAGCCCGGTCAGTTTAAAATTGACAAAGTTTCATATAAACTTTCATCCCCTATTTTATCCCCTTGGGAGTGGAATTAATAAAAATCTTTCTTAGCGGATGCCTACGTCATAACATCTACCTGCATGCCAAATTTCAGCCCGATCCGTCCAGTGGTTTGGGCTGTGCGTTGATACATCACTATGTCAGTCACCTTTGAGTTACATATATTGAGATAAATCAAAATCATGTATTTGTTAATACAACCCCAAAATACAACACAATTTTTACTACACCCGGATCATTAACCCCGAGAACTACTTGGAGTTTCCCTCTCTGCTACAAGATGGACGGTCGGTTCCATCTTGCGTCCTGCACGGTGAATCCATGAATTGCTAAGAAATTCGGATCTCTTTTTTGTTCAGAAGAACTTTCTTAAATTTCTAGAAAAACTGTTAAGATAGATAGTAAACTTCACCTTCAAACATTGTATTATTTTTTGTTTTTACATTTTTAATGATGTAGAACTTACCGTTTTTGTATAACATTCCGTGGGTTGTTTCAATAAGACGTTTATGGCAATTAATTGGATACATTCCCAAGATTTAGTTACCATAAATATTTATGGAATGAATTTACCTTAGTATCTATGGTCGTCTATGGTTGGTGTAGCAATGAGAATGAAGTATATCTATAGTTTAGCCTATCGCCGAGAATTCAGAAGGTTATAACTATCTACAATGATATCCAGAGAGACCAAGTAGACATCAACCTTATATTACTTGTAACAAGGTAAATAGTCCCATTACCAATTCCCATACAATTTATTATTATCAATAAGAAATTGTAATAACTTATGTCATTTTAGATTGATGACGATGGCAAATTCCTGAGTGATAAAGTAAAGGAGCACAGCAAGGAGTATTTGAGCCAGGAGGACGATCAGACGTTGTTTGGTACTATTGTAGACAAATGCGCTTCAGGTAAATATCAACGGCCTCGGTGATTGAGTGGTTTAGCACAAAGTTTTACTTCCGGTAGTCGCGGGTTCGACTTCTTACATGATACAGATATTATTTGTAAAGTTTACAGTGTTTAAGTGTAAAGTAAATATAGGGTATGTGACATGTCGGCAAAGTTACAACTATTATGAAGATCCATGAATATACCTTGATTGAGATGAATATAGTTCATATGATGTTTTGGATAACTGACAGATTGTGGTCTCACGAGCTCAAATAATTAGTTTTTATAATACAATTAGGCTACGGTAACCGTACATCAGATGGGCCGTATGCAAGTTTGCCAACTAGTAGTATATAAAAAAAATATATATTTCTGCATGCTTAATATATTTCAGCAAATGACGAAGAAGTAACCGATGGAGACCCAGGCTGCGTAAGGTCCAAGTTGGTGTTGGAGTGCTTCATCAAAAACAAAGGAGAGGTGAGAGTTAAATAATGAGAAAATTAAATAATAAAGTAATTTATTTAGACCTAAATACTAAACTATTACAATAACATGTTAACGCAAAGTACATTAGTTTATAAAAAAACTGTGTTGCAGTTATTTGCGCTCATCTCCAGAGCAATTTATACAATTTAAATAAAAAACAAATGAATATTGACTGATCTAGGTGTTTCCTATCTATATGTATGTATATATGTATGTTTATTCTGTATGTATTTGCATATAAAATGTATTTAAATATTTATATCAGTTGTCTAACATCCATAACACAAGCTCTGCTTAGCTTGGGACTAGATGACGTTGTGTCTATTGTCCATGGGTATCATTATATCAAGTATTTCATTAAAAAGTTCTTACACTGTAGTAATATATTATATACTTACTTACATGTCTTTATATTCGATAATTTGTTACTTTTTCAGTTCATAGTATCAAGCTAAAACCATTCTAAGAGAACACTGAGGAGATTGCTGATTACAAAGGACTATTTGCCAATGACTTAAAAATGAATGTATATTGAATATGAAATTCTGTAATCAGGATTTGTAAAAAAAAATAATCTATGATTTATTACATATTATTATTAGTTTTGTAATAAATGTTTTAAAATTTTTGTATGCGTTATTTCTGTACTTACTGTTAATATTTTTGTGTCAATAGAAAGGCTAACAAGTTAAACTCGAGGCAGTCTTTTTTATAGCTTAGGGGACAAACGAGCTTGGGGGTCATCTCATTGTAGATGATTACCGTCGCCCATAATCACCTGCAATGCCCCGGAAATTCCAAGAGCGTTGACGGCCTTTTAATAAGGAATAAGTTCTTTTCTTGAAGGTTTCAATATGCTTGCGGAAGTATCATTGCTGGAAGGTGATTAATTTCCATCCTGTCAAAAAGTTCTAAGATGCTTAAGATAGTTGTATTACGAAGCCTAGAGAAAGTCAGCTGTGGTTCAGAGGCTGAATTGCCGAGTCGATATATTATATTAGATAAAAAAAGGTCAGCTAGCTGTAGCGTGTCAAAAAATAATAATAATTTCATTTATTCAGATTACTGAGATCTTATTTGTTAGTAACAATAAACTTAGTCTATATTAGTATACCTGTAATTGCCAATTTGAGTCCAAAAATAATGTACTAGGCTATTATATTGCACAGCATTTTTAGAATGCTATTACTGCTGCCACGAGAGTAGAGAGGCGTCCGTTCGCGTCAGATGGCATATAGGACATTAGTAATTGCTACTGCAAATATATATCATAAGTTTTTAGACTCTTTTAGTTCTCTATTAGGAAAATTATATATTTCTATTTTATTTATACCTTTACGCAAGCCCGGCCTCTATTCAGAACATGGTATTGTAGACGCAGTAGAATTTCTACATAATCTTGATACTACAAGAAAAAATCCCCGCACCAAATAAAACTATTCGCGGGCAATTTCACTAAATAAATGCAAAATAGGCCTACGTTTAGTGAGCAATAAATAACTGAAAATGAAATGATGATGGTGATGATGAATACAATATTAGATAATAACAGTTTTTTAGGCTACAAGGTTGATGGAATGTATTGTATATAAACGAATGACATCGAATTGAAGCGGTATTGTATCACAAATTTTCGACTCTGATTATATTTTGGTTGTAATACTAATTAATAATTTACAATGCGTTATATATTGACTGTTATTGCTGCTTTTGTAGCCGTTAACTGTGTTGAGGTGAGTAAAAGAATATTTGAGAATATATTTGATCATAGACTTCTTCTTTCACTATCATGTACTTTCAACAAATTATATTACACCAAATAAACTATAAATATAAAAACTTTTTGTTTACCTTTAAACATTGTAACACAGTATGATTATAGTTTACTTGGTGTAATATAAGCATCGTAGTTTATTTAACCTATATCACATGTACATTCAGTTGCGGGCCTGGTGATGTAGGTACCAGATTCTCACTGCAATATATTTTTCTATTGTTCTATATAAAAATACTACATGTATTTATTGCCATTCATCTTTGTGAGGAGAAATAAATAAATTATTATTATTATTACTTATATCATCATGTTAGTTGTGTCAGATAACGGGAGTGAGAATAGTTCTTATTGATGTTATTTTGAACGCAACACTTAACATAAGCATAAGAAATATAACGTATTTGTAACGTTGATAGAGGATTGTTAGAATAGAATAGAATAGAATAGAAAATCATTTATTCAAATAAACTTAATTTAAGCACTTCTGAATAGTCAACATTTTTTCTTAAATCTACCGCTTATTCGGAAAGCTGTCTCATCACAAGAAGAATAAGCAAGAAACTTGTGTGTTGCTCTTTTAAACAACCCTTATAAGTTCCATTCCCCATATTACAAGTCGAAACGTGTGAATACAAACTACCAACCAGCACTATTTATTTAGGCTCAAATATAAAAACACAATAAGATTAAATCAGTCGTAGTGATATGAGCAGGCCAGTCCCTACAAGCAGCACTCGTTCACGAGTATGACGGATGAGCCAGCCATCACTGCGCTCGACCATATTTTAAGGAGCCCAATGACACGGCCCACCACGCCGCCACATGTCTGGACATTTTAGTGAGCATGACTACTCATTCCACTCGACCACGTCACAACTACAAAAATTACTATAAGGTAGTTACAGTATTCGCACTTTACATGAGGATGCATGCGGCAATCAATACAAAAGCTATCATATATCAAGAAAGTAGTATGAAAAATAAATTATAATGTTGTCCGCAAATAAACTTATTCTTGCTATATATTGCTATCATCTATAAATTCATCTATCCTATAATAGGCTTTTTTACATAACTTTTGTTTAATAAATTTGAATTGCCTCTCTGTCAGATTTACCGTAGATTCTGGCAGTTTATTATAGAATCTTACGCAATAAATACCATAAATTACCATAAAATGAATTACTAACTTTGTATAGACGGCATTTAGGTAAAATTAACTTATTTTTATTCTTTTCATTCTTTCGTATGGCTCTCTTTTGTAAAATAAATATAGTATTTACATCAGCAGCTTTACCCCATAGCAGTATGCCATATGACATAATGCTATGGAAATAACTAAAATATGCAAGTTTTGCCGTCGCCACGTCTGTTAATGCCTTATCCTTCTAATTGCATAAGCAGCAGAAGTAAGTCTACTGGCTAGTTTTGAAATATGGGGCCCCCATTGTAACTTCGAGTCCAATGTTATTCCTAAAAAAACTGTATCATTAACAAAACTTACTATTTCATCATTAAGCAATAGCTGCGTATTTACTTGTCTTGCATTAGGAAGCGTGAATTTAATACACTTAGTTTTGTTGGAGTTAATAATAGATTATTACATGTGAACCAATTTAATATAGCAGAGATAGCATAATTTACATCGTCTAATTGATTACATTGGCGACCAACTTTAAACACTAACGAAGTATCATCCGCAAATAATACTATATCTGCAATTTTCTCTACCATGTAGGGAAGGTCATTTATATAAATTAAAAAGAGAAATGGGTACTAACTAATTAGTAATGTGAACTAACGATCCCATTGCTAGCAACATGCCATGTCAGATTTTCCATGCTGTTCCCTCTAGAAACCATCATGACGGTTTCTACAGAAAATCGTTGTGACGAATTCCTGGTAAATTTGTTACAATGGGCTAACTGTCCTGATCACAGGCTCATTTTAACATATTTCACTGCAGTCCTGCCAGCGTATACTGTTAGCGCACTCGGGTCTACATCTATTATCACACATTAAGAAACGTCTCTCATCACGTTTTTAGTGCAGACCAGATTGGAACTGACTGTACCTATAGATATAAGTTGAGATAGAGAGCCGCAAGGCAACAACGTCTTTAAACTTTTAATAGGTTTAAAGATAGAAAACGTTGTTGCCTTGTAAATATTGATTTATAATTCCAGGGGAACATTAGCAGGGGTCCTTTCTCTCAAGCATTTATGGGCTACATCATGCAATGCAACCAGGAGTTCCAGGTGCCTGTGGCCAAGTTGGCACAAATGAAAACAGACGATCTCGGTGATATTGACCCTTGCTTGTTTGCATGCGTTTTTAGACGTACAGGAATGGTCAGTACATTTAACGATTTTATTTATAAACAATTTGTCCTTGGAAAAGTTATTGTGCTGTATAAATTATTTTTGGATTTTTATCACAGAAGAAAACACAAAAAATAAACTTTGAATATGTTAATATTAAAAGAGTAATTATGACATTACAGTTGGATGATACCGGTATGTACAAGGCTGAAATCAATGATGATCTGAAGAAAGCATTGAAATCAGAGGAGAACTTGAATAAACTTACTGCTATCACCAAGGAGTGTACATCGGGTAATTATTTTTTAGTATACTAGCTATATAAAGCCGCTTTATCATCTTTAATACAAATACAAAGCTATGACAGTGAGTTTATATGGTTTTATGGCTCACCTGGTAGTACCACCAGGTCTCAACCGTGACATAGACAACGTTGAGATATGGCAGTGAAAGTCCCCTGTAATTTCACTGCCATATCTTAAAGTCTAATCTTAACACAGCTTACAAAGAAACTGTTGACAGTTCTCAAAAAATCAAATTCAAATTCTTTATTTATTCAAAGTTTCACAGCAGCATAGCAGCAACATAGAAGCAGCACCCTGCTATCAGGGTCGGAATCATTATTCATGATGACATGATTTTTACTCTCCTGTTTGTGTGCAAAGGCTGCGGTTACCACCTTCCATCCAGCCGTTCGTTAGCTTGTTTGCCATTCCAGTTCCTTAAGAAAAATATACGAATTTATCTTTAATTGTTTACACAACTACGGAAAACAAAAAGGACTGAGTGTCTTTGTTTTAAAATCTTATTTCATTCATTACCGTCATCGCCGGCCTCACTGGTCTAGTAAGTCTCGGGTTCGATTCCGGTACAAACATTGTATTAATGAGTCTGAGTGTTTGAAATGTAAATTAAGTATGTATTTAAAAAAATCTATTTGAGTATTTTATCAGTTCCATAAAACAAGCTGAGTCTTGAGATATTATTATTATGTATGTATGTATGTCCCTCTGTTCCACCATAACTTCTAAACTATATTATTATTATGTTACAGTAAACGAGCATAGTGTTACTGATGGTAACAAAGGCTGCGAAAGAGCTGTCATGGTTTTATATTGTTTCCATGAGTAAGTACCCATTGTTACAGTTTCGAGAGATGATAAATGCTAAAATGTATAATTTTATTTTACAATTTAGAACTTTTTTCTACCAGAATCGATATTGAAAATTCTTTTTTTATTTGAAAAACAGTACTTTTCGTGTAGTCCCGTATAAAGTTCAAAATTTGACAGGACATTTTGTTAGAAAATATGTAATAAAATGCTCAATTTAGGGCTGATTTAGGGTTAGTAATAATTGGATATAATCAGTCTGTAACTACCAATCAATACCTTTTTTTAAATATCATTGAAATATTTAATAGCCATTACTGAGTTTTGGCTTCGTAAAATATATTTTATTATAAATAATTCAATTATATTTAAAAAAAGGTATTGTTTGCCTATTAGAAATTTGTTTAATTTCATGAATACTAACGCTATGCTCGGAGTTACTCTGCGTGATCGAATCAGAAATGAGGAGATCCGCAGAAGAACCAGAGTGACCGACATAGCCCGTAGAATTGTGACTCTGAAGTGGCAATGGGCAGGGCACATAGCTCGTAGGACAGATGGCCGTTGGGGCAGTAAAGCCCTCGAGTGGCGACCACGGACCGGAAGACACAGCGTGGGAAGGCCTCCAGGTGGACCGAAGATCTGGTCAAGACCGATGGAAGGCATTGGATGCGAGCAGCGCAGGATCGATCGTCGTGGAGATCTTTGGGGGAGGCCTATGTGCAGCAGTGGACGTCCTCCGGGCTGCGATGATGATGATGATGATGAACGCTGTCTTTCGGTTTGGTATAAAATTTACAATTTTACATACGTGTATGTAACATTGTAATTTCTCCAAGAAGTGAAGTGGAAAATATATTTTTGCTGTGCTTGCTACAAACTGTGCGTTCACGTGTCAAATTTTATATTAGAAGTTCGACTATTCCTACTTTATTTCTTGTCTGAACTGGTTCACTTTTTACACATATTACTACTATCTATAGTGATTGGTTTATTCAATTTGAAAATGTGTCATATATCTTTTTTTTACAGTTTGTTGAAGGAGTAACGAATCCGGGATAAGCAGCAGTGGCGATATATTACTCGCTGTAATATGAAACACGAATATTTTTTATCTTTTGGACCATTACAGATGTTCTCAGTACAACAATCTTTTTTTACCAATTGTAATATATAAATTTACCAAGGTTGCGATTATTTGAGTTGGGAATGGAAGGAGGATTATTTTTATTTAATTGTAATACCAAACGGCGAATACGATGGCCACCTAATGGTAATGGGTAACCGTGGCCTATATAGGCGATGGTTACCCCTTACCATTAAATGATATTTGATTTGATTTGATTAAATCCCAGATTACAAAGCAAGCGGCATTACGGGCAGGAATAAATGTCCTTACCTAATTGAAATAAATTTCATGCTTCCGTACCATTCCGCACTGGTGCCCCGTCAGTCAGCCAGGTTTCCGCTTTTGCTAATATTGCATTGCAGGGAATATCAGGTGGTAACAAATACTGTCTTTTTAAAAAGAACATGTACAAATATATTCGGTTGCACCTAGAAAGAATGTGAATCCGCTAGGCCGTCAAATAGCTACATATTGTTGCTTTGATACTCAAATACTAGAAGCTACGTAGGACGCTTAAATTGAATCTAATCGTTTTGTTTATGGTCATCCATTTCGTCATGCCACCGAATCGAATTTCACCAAAACTAACATCGACTATGGGGACTACTAACACAAAAACATATTTCCTGATAACTCAAGGTCGGGATGTAAACACAATTGTGAAATTAGTTCTGCCCAAATTTAGCTAGATCATGTTTTATATCGCCTATAAAACCAATGCATGCTGATAACTCTATATCACTTTTTGTTGGTTTTTTGAGTAGAGCCAGTAGCTCTTCATAATCTCTTGTTAGTTTTTATTGTGCTATATCTAAAAAACAATGTATAATTATTCGCTTTATTTTACATTGTTCATATTTTTTACAAGAAGCAATGCTGTAAGTAATGTTATTTTATTTAAATTGAAGATGGATTTAACTTCGTGTTTAAAGCTCTATGGTGATAAAATATATATATACCTTTCCAGGCGGTCACTCCAGCACAGAAGGCAATGATACAGTCCAAACTATTGTCCAGCGGCTTGGAATGTATCAAAGATCATCCACTCTCGATATCTGATATATCAACGTTGAGGAAGAAAATGATTCCTAACAATGAGAATGCTAGGTGCTTTGCGGCTTGCTTGTTTAAGAAGACTGGTATTGTGAGTATTAACTTAATCAAATTAATTTAAAATATCTACATTACTTACTTACTGCTCTTCTATATATTCGACTGATTTAATCTTATTGTATATATTTGACTCTAATAAATTAGTGCTGGTTGGAAGTTTGTATTCACACGTTTCGACTTGTAAATGTGAACTTACAAGGATTATTTAAAAGAGCAACACACAGGTTTCTTGCTTGTACTTCTTGTGATGAGACAGCTTTCCGGTAGATAAAAAAAAAATTTGTTATTACTTAATGAATTTATAAATATATAGTATTTTTTAATTCCGCTACCATGAACACATGTCATTGTGTGACCACAAATTATCAGTGCGGAAATCTAATCACCGCTACTAGAAACCAAAGGCCTTCCACATTAGTGATCAAAATGATGAGAGTTGGGATATAGTGCTAGGATATAGCTTGGAAGCCCAGTGTTGACTGTTTGGCAACCAGGCTACGAATGCTGTTATTATTCTTAGGCAGACATTTAGTTCTCAGGCAACACATGAGGTACCAAGGTCATCAGAGTGATGATGAAAAAATTCATCCCATTTTCATCCGAAAGATTAACTGGTAGAGAATGCTTTTAGCCTTTTGTACCGTATTTTAGTTGGTCAATAAAGCTATTTAAGTAGTAAAGTTATTTTTGTACAGATGGACGATGTGGGAAAAATTAATCCAACAGGAGCGCACGACAGCGCCGCGAAGATATTCAAAAACAGCGAGGATCATTTGAGCAAAGTCGATGGCATTATTGAGGAGTGCTCTTTTGGTAAATGTTTGTTACTTTTACATCTAATTTATCTCAATTGTTAAGAATTCTAGGACTATTGATTATGGCATGGCATATACAGATATTTGCTATCGCAAATAGCCATAGAATGCATTTAAAAATAAAATTATAAAATTCAAATATGGAACATCACGTATAGAACATTAATATTATTTTGTTTTACATCATATAGGTACATACATTTTTTCATTCCGTGGCGTCACTATTAAATTCAGTTTACAGTAAATTCTATCCATTTTTTTTATTCATTATTATAACAACTTAAATATAGTAATATTTCTCCAGCAAACAACCGCTTTACTTCCGATAGTAGCGGGTTTGATGCCTCGCACAGTGCAAGCATTTGTACTTATGAGTATGATTGTTTGTATCGATCTGAGTTTTTTCTATGTACATTATGTATGTATTACAAAAAAATATCTGAGTAGATATTTATAGCAGTTGTCTAGTACCCACGACACAAGCTTTGCTTACCTTGGGACTAGATAGTGTTTTGTGAATGAGTATATAAGTATTTCTAATAATTATTGATTAAGATGGCGTAGTGTCCAAAATTATCCAAAGATTATTATTACTATTATTATTATTATACAGATAGCATCCACTTTTGGTTTAAATTCATATAAGCCTTCGGTCCTATTTTATTTGTAGTACCATGATACCTTTCTTTCTTGTACTAACATTAAATTACTCTTGAGGCACTGTTTTATTTGTATAACCATGGTATCTTTCTTGTATGACAATAAATTTGACCAATCTATGGCAGAACATCACAGATGAGTTCAAAGACAATTTGACAATGCTAGTGAAAAAAAAATTGTTCTTTTCTATGCACATATGACTATGTTAAACTGTTAATCTTATTAATATCATAAAGTTTGTAAGTATGGATGTTTATTACTCTTTCACGTAAAAACTACTGAATGGATTTTCATGAAACTTTACAGTAATATAGCTTATGCATCAGAATAACACATAGACTATAATTTTTATTGAAATGTGTATGTTGAAATTTAACGCGGGTGAAACCGGCAGGCCTAATTATAAATATATTCTATAATAGAATCTTTTATCTTTTAACTTTACAGTTAATGATCAAACTATGGGAAATGATAAGGGCTGCGAGAGAGCCAAGATGGCGTTCGAATGTTTGGTACAACATGCTCCTAAAGTGAGTCGTTTTTATATTTTATTCAATTACTTTTTTACAGTATACCATCTTCGCACGGTCCTCTTTTAACTAAAATGTCTATGCTATGCACCAATAAATTCGTATATCATACATATCAAGTCGCGGGACACAAGCAGTCTATTAAAAAACAAATAACTGAAACCTACAGATTCCTTCTTTTCTTAATGGTAATGGCAACTAAACATATTTTCCCCAGAAAGTATATTCTCGATAATGCAATGTTCTATTAGTAGAAGAATTTTAAAAAATCGATGAACTATTATTCTTTTTTAAGTTTATTCATTATAAAAATAAGATCCAAACATTCTTCTTTGTAAATTAAATCAATTCTGTACTTACATAATATCGACGAAAGCACTTATCATAGAAAATTAAGAAATTTAAATAAACTCCCAAACCAAAAAGTTGACTAAATTCTACCTTACATCTCCTTCGCGTCAGGTTTCGAACAGAAAAAAGCAAAAAAACCGGTTATTTTAAGAGCTACAATATTATAGATACACAGATCAGACATTTACAAAGACACCTCAAACTTATACCACGCCCCTTTTTTCGTCTGATTTTGAAAATATTATTCGTTACGCATTTTTTGTTAATATTTTGGTTTTGTTCGCAGTTTGACCTGGATATTGACTTTTAATGCTTTGAAATAAGACTCATTTCAAATAGTCACTGGACACAATTACTTAGAATTTATCAATTTAGAACGTAAAGGAGAAGACATAGAGATCTATGTAAATCATATGTACCTGCTGGTAAAAACGAATATCATATGGGAATGGAACAGTTAGAAGAATTCTACTACTACTCGGCATTTTGGCATTCTTTCTGGTTACCGAATTAGGATAGCGGACCCTTTCTTCAATTTAATTATATTTTAATTGTATATAATTATAATTTAGTAAGTAAAATACTAATTTGTTTTATTGAATACCTATAATAGTTAGTTTCCTAAAATATTCAGTAAACCACATTCTAGAATAGTAGAAAATAAGGAAGTTCTTTTTTTAAATTTGATTTTGAAAATAGAGCGGTTGTTTGTGGATGAAAATGGATCTTTAAATTGATTATGTACTAGATTTAGATTTCACTTTTATTTCCAAACTATTAGATTGAACTATATTTAGCAATTTTTTTATTCTTTCTATTAAGTAAAAGAATTTTAAAGTAATTATTTCGTTGTCTCGTTACATTCTGAATTTATATGATTAAATATTGATTTTTTAAAAGTTGATTCTTTCTACATTCGTGAATCATAGTGAAATTAAACATTATGTTACTTGTACTAAATAAAAAAAATGTTTTGTCTGGAAATAATATTTTTTTATTATGCTTCTAATTACTAACTTAATTAGGTCCACAATCCATTTTAATTATATAATAATTTCGAATTAATCCTTTGGGTTGAAGCCTTGATTCTGCCATACATTACTTGGTGGTTCTTGTTTGTAAAGATAACCTGAAATAAAGATTAATTAAAATAAATATTACTAAGCAATAACCAAGTTTAAAAGGGCTTAAACTGTAATCTGTTACTCCTAACTTGCTAAATATTTAGAGCATAAGAGAGGTAAGAAGCATGACATCATAGTCTTCTAGAATGGCAACGCATTACTGGTATGGCGGGTGCCACATGATAATGTGATATGCGTAGTGCTGTTCAGGTATATAGGTGACGGTTACCGTTTACCATCAGGCTGAGACGGCAGTTTGATTGCTATTAATTATTAATGACTATTAAAGGATTGACACGACTGATCCGGTCTGTGTCAAATATATGGAGAGGGGGAAGGAGAGAAAAAAAAATTAGAAGACGTGAGAATTTATAAGGAAGTACTAGCGGGAGCGTAGAACGAGAACGGAGAACCTAGAGAAGAACGGAAGAATGAGGACGGAGTTTTATAGTAGGGCTTACAGACTTCATCGCTGGTGATGTACCGTGATGTCACGAATCACGATGATTTTCAAGGGTGATAGCGTGAAGGTTGCCCTTGAAAACCATCGTAATTCACTGCTGGTGATTATGACTAACTTTAACTGACCTAATTTCACGCTGGTGCCTCGCTAGCGTATACAGAAGATAAGTGCACAATTCCATTATTATCCATTAAAAGAAATGAATGAAATATTGCTATGGATTCCTATATAAATATACACAGTAAATAAAAAGCTTTAAAAAAAATTCAATTGAGTTTCTTGCCAGTTCTTCTCAATTGAATCTGTATACTGAACTGGACGGTAGGGAAAAAATTTTAATATAAAAAATTTAACGTTTATAAGCAGCTAAAATGTTCTACATGAATTTGAATAAGATCCTCTTATTCTATTTTTTGATAGTGGCCGCCATTTCTTTTAAATAAGACTGTGGGAGAAAGAGTGCAAAGCTAGTTACAAAATAAGGCTGTTAAATTTAAATTTGGGAGAATATAGTGTCCACCAGCTGGTGCTGTTATTATTTACGTTACATAATACATTACTGCAATTAATTAATATTAATAATTAACACTACATTAATGTAAATAATAACAGCACAAGCTGGTGGGCAATCTATTCTCCCAAATTTAAATTTAAAAATGAATCTGTATTATTGTAAACATGTACAACATTTATTTGAAAAGAATACTAAATTTCTTGTCAGTTCTTCATCTCGAAATCATTCCGAACTGACCGTAGATTTGACATCATAAGAGTCTGTAATAAAGCTACATGAATACAGATATTTTGAATGCTTACCTATTTGATTTCATCGAAGCAGTTGAACAATAGTCTGGCACGTTCGCAACCTTTTTCACCGTCGCCAATAACCTCGTCGTTTACTGAAAAATAATAACAAGTTTAAAACCTAAGAACCATTTTAAGAACTTGGTCAAAATACATTTTCTTTCCTTGTAATGTTTCTTTTCTGTCATCATCATTTTTATGCTACTGTACTGTATTATATTATCAGTGCTACTAGTATCATTCCTATACGTATCACAGTTACTTGCTACTCGAATTATTTTGTGTTTTTTATTTATTTATTGCATGTTGTTATGTATGTTTATATATATTTATATAGATATTTACTGTTTATATATGTAATATATTATGTTGCTAGTTATTATTAATTTGTAATGTTCTTGCTATTTATATTATATGGCAACAATTAATAATAATTATTATGTTTTTTTTCCATTCTATTCTAGCACTACCTATACCTTTTGACTTTTCTCATCTATCTAAAGGTTGTCTGGAAGAAATTGCATAAGCGATGAGGATGCCTTTTGTACCTGCGTCTGTTAATTGATTCTGATGATTCATTTATCTGGTGCAATAAAGAGTCTATAAATAAGTAAACAATAATTAAATAGGCCGAGTCACACTTTGCACAAACTAAGCAAAATTACCGGTAAAGGTTTCTATAAGTACTAGTGGTTGCTCAGTAGTCGATGCGACCATAATTAATTTAAATTATAAGTTTGAACATTATTAAGGTTTTATAGTCAACGACTATAACTTCTATAATGAGTTAATCATTGGCACTGGCAGTTGCACTGCCAATAAAAAAAAATAATTTATGTGTGTGTGTATCAAATACAAATGGTAGTGTGTGTAATGTTTTATTGATTGATTTAATGTATTTATATAACGCATAATTTTTAAACACACTTCTTTTCTATAGAAATTACGTATAAGTATGCAGTTTACTATGTCAGCGTAATTTTCGCAAATAGGGGAAGTTTTTGCTTCATGTATTAATATAATAATCCCATTAGTATTATAAAAGCAAAAGATTGTGAGTATGGATGGATGTTTTTACTCTCTTACGCAAAAGCTACTGAACGGATTTTGTTGAAACTTTACAGTAATATAGCTTATACATGAGAATAACATATAGGTTATACATTTCACGCAGGTGAAACTGGGGCACAGTTAATTAATAAATATCTTTAAGTATAGGCCGTGTTACGCTTTGTGCAAAGTCAAGCAAAATTAACATTAGTTCTACCTTTAGCACATTTAGTGATGATGTCTGCAATGGCGTCCATTTCTCCGTCGCCAGTAAATATTTCCTTGGCTTTATCCAATGCTGCAGCCTGCACCAGACTTCCTAAGTCATCGAACTAAAAACAAAAAAAAATACAATAAATATAGAAGCTCTTTGAAGTATCTATTGCTAGAAGATTTTTTAAATTTCGAATTGTAAATAAATATGTGGAATTACACGATCGTTTACAATAACTTTCCAGGATGTTATATTTTACTAGCTGTTACCCACGGAAGAAGCGGAGTGAAATACCACATTTTTATTAAAATTAATGAAACAAAATTAGCTTCAGTTACATTACCTATCTGAGAATGAAAGTCCCGTTAAAATTGTCATGAACAAACAAGTAGATAGACAGACAACAATTTATAATTCTTTTTGGATGTAAGTACCACATATATTTTCATATAAAGTAGTGAAAGCTGTTAATTAGAAATTACAAACAGGCACTTTAATTGACGACATGGCGCATTCGTTTCAGCGCAAGAGTTGTTTACATCTGGAACAGCCACGCTTACCTATAATTATTATTGCAGGCTAAAATACAGCCGAGATACAAGCAAAGTAAATACTTACAAGACCTATTTTCTTCAACACACACGCACCAAGACAGGCAGCGTCGGAACCTTCTGGAAATTTTCCACTTTTGTACGTGGCTAGATCTTCGACGGAGAGCGGAAATTCTTCGAGACACTCATCCGCGTGGCTGGTTAACTTCGGTTGGATGATTGTGATATGTTCATGTAGTGTAATAGCCTAGAAATATGTCCAGATACAATTATGTGAATATAACATTAGCATTTCTGCATTCCTTCTCTATATGAACTATAAATTTGCGAAATTTTGTACTCCCCTGTCAGCGCAAATTTTGCAAATAGGGGTACAAAGTATTTGCTGCACATAATATATAGGTAAAAAAACAGCGGTAGGTGGTCCACTCCACGAGTGTACCAGATTCGCAGCCAATAGAGACAGAAATGACATCTGTGACCACGACCGTCTGTCAAGAACGTAGCGAATAAGAAGAAATAAAAGAAAGTTTTTTTTCTGTTGCTGTTGGCTCCCTCCACCACTTCTTATTAAAACCGGTTCTTCACACCTATCGAATAAGAAGAAGAAAGTAAAAGAAAGTATTAAAAACTTCATTATACTTACAGCTGCAACGTTAAGCACTATGAACACCGAGACTAAGTATAGCACCGACATTGTTCCGTCCAAATAGAAGGATCCTAATACAATGGTTGTTACGGTAATATTTGGACATTTTTATACTAAACAAAATGGCGAAAAAACGCCAATATCCTGTGTTTTACCTTCGATTTACAACGGTAGCTGTTCAATTGACTCCCAAGAATTGTTTATCATTGTTATTTGCTACTTGTAAAATACTTCGTGTTAACATATTTGGTTTATCCTGTTCCTTTTGGCCAATATTTTCCTGTTGTTATTTTATTCCTTTCATCTCAAGTTTAATCCTGAATATTTAATAGGTTTGTTTATGTACGAGTGTACCTACTGCTATTGTTAACAACCATTCGCCTCAAACTGTAGTGTGACATTTTCATATATATATTTAGAACAGTTCTTTTTGTGTCATGTTCTTTAGTATATTTCATTTATTGCTACATTGTCTGTTCCACAATTCGCAGCTGTCTATCAATAAATTTTATTATCATCATCTACGTTTCCATCATGTAAACACCCATACAGTTCACTGATCCGTTACAGCTGTCTATATAAAATACAAATTGGTTACCCTGTTCCACAAGGAAAGAAGTCATGTCTCTATACCTCATAATTTCACTGCCATGTGTCTTCTACTACAGTCACCCTTAACCAAAACAGGTAAAAATAAGGGCGGTAAGAGTACCAAAGGAAGTTGACTTTTTTCAAAGTTTACCGTACTATAAATTACCTTCACAAATTTCATTGCAGCATAAATGAGATAGAAAAGACAAGAATCAATAGTAGGTGTCCTGTTCTTTCGCATGCCCGCACTTGGGATTTGTTCAATTCAGTTCTATGTACGTACATCCCTTAGACTGTATAATGACTCGTCTATTGAATCATTACAGATGTATTGATAGGGGGCTACCATAAACAATTTTGTTTTCTATTCGATACATAAACTATGTAATATTATGTTATCTGTGCTTAACCTACACCCGTACATAAGTTCCGGGAACTGCATGAAATTTTTTCCTGGGAAAAATTTTGAATCTATGGAAAGAGACGAACTTTTCAGAAGTTAATAGTATATGTTCTACGATTAAAGAAAATAGAGTGGCATTTACTTAAGTCATCTTAAAATACTTAAAATAATGTTTTTAAATTTCATTCAGTTGTTAATTTAGAAACTAGTTTTAAAATTCAGTTCTCTGTCTATAGATTATTATATTCTAAGCCTTCCTCATTACATAGTATAAAAATCATATAATAAATGTTTAATGGGAAAAATAGACATAAGTTCGTTATTCAAAAATAATTTTATTACATATACAAACAATAATGAAATAATTCTTTTATGTTCAAACACATTGCAGATCAAGCCGAAGGGGATGCATTGTGGATCGCCGTTCTATTAAATATTATTGTATTATATTATTAACTAGATGTCGAAGCCAAACTGTAATAAAAAAAATAACACAATCATTATTAATGTACTATTTTAAGTTGCAAGTTCTGTTGGGAAAATATATTTAAATATATGTATGATTATTGCTGTTGAAACGAAAGAAAGAGAGAACAAGTGAAATAAAGAGTAATTACTTTTTTATGAAATATAAATAATATTTACTTAAAGATAATAATGATATAAGCACTTTTGAAAAGTCATATAGTATTTTTTTACTATCATTCATTCGGAAATAGACTCATCAGAATATGGAACTTTTTAGGTTTAATTTAGGATTCTGTGTAAGAGTTCGCTATTGCAAAGTTTTTTTTACAGAGAACTTCTCGATGAGTGTATGATATGATGAGTGTACAGTTATAGTACATAAGAAGATGTTTAATAGAGTTAATAATCTATACATAGTTCTACTCAAGTAGGAATATATATTGAGGAACAAATTATTTTTATTATTAACTAGAAAATGCATATAAAATAATGAAACTTGTTACCTGTGGAGCATTTTCTATCATACATTTATAGGCTAGGAACGCTCTTTCACAACCCTTTTCGCCATCACCTACTGGCGCTGAGTTTACTGTAACAAAAGAGAATAGAATATGTTCAACACATTTTGTAAATAAAATAAATATAAATAATTTGTAATATATAATTTTTCTTTGTAATGGCAACAATAGAGAATTTAAAAAGTTTCATTCAAACTGACTTGTCTTTTTTTTATGTTTCTAACCATTAAGCCATGAAAACTGTACTCCTGTAAATTACATATAAATAATATACAGTCCAATTAAAATTAAAGAGTTGTTGTTTTAATAATCCAACAGAATAGAATATAAATTAGAGTTCATTTTATAATAGCCTCGCTGTTACCAGCGATTTATCTGCAAACTTTCATCTACTATTATCATCACCACCTTTTACCGTTTACTGTAAATCTCTTCCAGGGATAAGTTAACCTTTGCTCAAATTGTCTAAATTATTTTATATTTTCTGTGCAGTAAAAAATATTTGACGGCTTCGGTGGTTCGCAGTTAGCACGCTTTACTTCTGATGGTCGTGGGTTTAATTCCTCGCACGGTGCAAACATTTGAATTCATGAGTATGATTGTTTGTATCGGTCTGGGTATTTTCTATGTTTATTATGTATTTATTTACAAAAAAAATGTATCTGTTGACAACACAGGCTCTGTTTGGATTAGGACTAAATCGCGCTGTGTGAATTGTCCTGTGTTATTACATTATTATTATTGTCACTTAATTCATTAGACTAAATAATTTTGATCAGAGGTAGACTGTAAAAATTAAGGTATGTTTCGGTTGTAGGGTGCAGACTGGCGTTGTGTGAAACTTATTTAACACAGCCTTAACTAACATGAAGAGTTAGAGTTTGTAATTATTTCTCATGCTGGATACCCATTCATATTTTTTTTATTGGAATGTCAAACAAGCTGACCATCTACCTGATAGTAAACGGTAACTGTCGCTTATAAACATGAACAACACTACGGACATCACGTTATCATCTAATAACCATCATATCAATCGTTCATTGCTAATCCAGATGTGATGAAATGAAATGAAGTGAAACGTTTATTTTTAGAGCACTTAGATGTTATGATTCTTATCAAATTTCACTGCCTAATTTTAAACCATACAACAGAAATACAGCTTACAAAAGAATCTTGTTAGCAGGTGAAGTATGTGGTACCCATCCATACGATTTTATATAAATGAAGCTACTTCTGTACATGTAGATTTTGCAATTATTTCTCATGTAGGATCATAACTAATGAACTGTCAATATTTATTAAATTACTATATATAAATAATATAAACAATTATTTATAATTACTTAATAGAAATAAGTATTTCTATAATTAGGCTGGCATATTATATAATGTACTAGCTACTCGCCCTGGCTTCGCACGGGTGTACATGTATTATATATATAAACCTTCCTCTTGAATCACTCTATCTATTAAAAAAACCGCTTCAAAATCCGTTGCGTTGTTTTATAGATTTAAGTATAAATAGGGACGGACAGACAGCGATAGCGACTTTGTTTTGTACTATGTAGTGATTACATAAATGTCGACATACCGTTATTTGCACCGTAACATTCTTGTCTGTTTTATAATGTGAGATTGCCAAGAATTATTCTTTCAGATATTATAGTAAAGACCATGTTTTATAACGATTTCTGTTGTCTAATTTGATTCTCATTTTAAGACTAAAATAATGTTAGTTGCAACAACAAGAGCTTCAGAACAAAAAGAGCTAGAATACACACACACACACGCCTGTCACTATAACAATTTTCCCTGTCAGATATAAGAGTGTACATCTTTCGATACTATACTACGATTTATTAAGATAGATTATTAAAATTACGTAGACTTACCATGGGCACATGAGTGCATATAGTCGCTAATCTTTTTCACTTCATCCTCATCCTGGAAAACAGACCTTGCGAGCTCCAAAGCACTTTCTTTCTGCATCTGTCCTTTATCGTCCAGCTGGAATTTTATTTAAATATATTAATACGACTAACGACTTCGGTGGTCTAGCGATTTAACATACTGCTGGACTTCCGATGATCGCGGGTTTGATTCCTCGCACGATTCAAACAATTGCATTTATGAGAAAGATTGTTTGTAACGATACGAGTATTTTCCATGTATATTATGTATGTATATACGAAAAAAATTTTTTGTATCATTTGTCCAGTACCTATACTACGAGGTCTGCTTAACTTGGAGCTAGGTGGTGTGTGAATTATCCAATGATATTATTATAAATTTTTTATTATATCAAAACTCTACTACGTATTTATTTATTTGACCTATTCTATGTTTCTGAAAATACCGATAACAAATCATATTATTTCTAGACAGAAATTTTCACCTCAGGGTTGGCACTCAAGCGTACTGGTGAGTATCGTGCTTCATGGGTTATCTCTTCTGTGCTTATAATATATCTACGTCAAGGTCCTTTTTAAATATAGGCGTCCCTTTCGGAAGCCTATATACAGAGAGAGATTTCACTTAGTGATTGTCAATATGAAACAAAGCAAGTCTAGTCAGGATGATAAACTGGTGATATCCTTCTTGTTAAATAAGAATCTGGTTCCTAACAGGACTTGTAAATGTTATATAGTTTATTATATAACTTACCACTCCAATTTTTCTCATAATACACGCCATAAAGCATGGTGCACCAGCGCTAGTTGGCAGCTTACGGGTCCTCAAGTTCGCGATGTCCTCTTCAGTAATGGTGTGATCCTTAATACATTCCATGCCGATCGTTTCGAAATGCTGATGTATCTGAGCTCTTTGTTCGTCAGTTACTGCCTGTAATATGTATATAACTTGTAAATAACCCTGACCTAGACACATCATAACATTATAGTCCCGGTAGAATGCATACGCGTCCTCGCGACACCGGCATTGGCGACTCAGAGATACGCTGTGTGGTTTTCACAGAAATCCAATATTTAATAACAATTTCTAAACATAAATAAACATATCACACAATACTAGCTTTTTTAGAATTGGTGTAGGAAATATGGTTCATTTGATGGAAATGGTAATCTATAGACCACGAATAATAGATATAGAGATCTCTGACATCATAAAAATATCTGAAGTAGAAAAAATGTTTTTGAGTTTGATGGCTCAATTCTTGGAGATTGTTATGGAATATTAAACATCAAGCTACAATAACTAACAACCGAGCAGAAAGACGAAAAATCAGACTAGGTACAATGCGAGATGCAATTACTTTTAAATTAACTGGTGTACGTAACCCCAAGATATAATATTATATACAAGATAACCAAGATTATAAAGAGAAAGCATGATATTTTTATTTGTAATAGATAACTCAAAAATATATGATCGATTTTAAAAATTCTATCACGTATAGTTACATTATCAGTAACATGGGCTGGATTTAAGTGACAAACACCGCGTGATGCAGCTAGTAAATGATAAAAATCTTACAAATACACTTACAATAGTTAAATGCATAATACTGCACACACACAAACACAATAAAACAATTGAGCGGAACATTCTTAAAGAATCTGTGATCTCCTGTAGCTATAAACTCCAATTGAAAAATATTAACTGATCATTTTCGGCAAACTCTCCCGTTTTATACTCAACGATAAACTAATTAATATACAATTTGTGATTTAAAAACTGTTATTAGATTACACGAACTACTACTTCTGGGGATGACATTGGATATAAGTAGGCAGTAAGTGCTGTAATTTCAATGATTGCAAGGTACAATTGTCGTTGTTTTAGGCAGGTCATATGAATGTGATACATGGGTACGCAAATATTTTTTGTGCTTTGTGAATTATCGTCACTTATTAACGTCATTCTTTGTTTAGATTGCTGATTTTGCTATGACTTAGATCGGTAGTAAATAAGGTATTGGTGTAGGTAAGTATCAATCTATTAGACGACCTCGGTGGTCTAGCGGTCAAGCACACCGCTTTACAACGGATGGTCGCGGGTTCGATTCCTCGCACGGCACAAATATTTTGTATTCATGAGTATGATTGTTTGTATCGGTCTGGGTGTTTTCTATGTATAATATGTATGTATTTACAAAAAAAAATATCTATGTATATGTATCAGTTATCTACTACCCATAACACAAGCTTTAGGTAGCTTAACTTGGGTCTAGATGACACTATGTGAATTGTCCTGAGATTATTATTATTATTATTATTATCTACATTTTTTTAGATGGAGAAAATATTTCATAGAGGCCCGCCCTTCATGGAGAAATCGAGCGCGTACTGTTTTCACTAAAATCTCCTAGATAGCCCTCGGGGCAACGATAAAGAGAATGAATTTGATTTCATGTGATAATGTTAATTTGTAATGAACATATTTAAAAAATATATCATTTTGGTATTCAGAAAATTATATTCTGGAATTTATTATATAATATATTTGATACGACAAATTAACAAATTAAGTTACGACGACGTATGATTGCTCGCGCTATCCCGCAACTCTGGCGAAAGGTTTTTTTATTTCTTTGATATTTAAGGACTTTTGTACAATGAAAGTTTTCGTTCCCATACTCCTCCGAAACGGCTTGACCGATTCTCATGAAATTTTGTGAGCTTATTGAGTAGGTCTGAGAATTGGCCAACATCTATTTTTCATCCCCCTAAATGTTAGGGGTAGTCCACCCCTAAATATTTTTTTTTATTTTAAGGCAAAGCAACGTTTGCCTGGACAGCAAATATATGTAAATATAAAATTACTATGTTTGGGTCTAAACCGGGTTGTTCATTTATAATCGACAACCTTGGTGGTCTAGCGGTCACACCGCATACCATATAGCACACCGATTTACGTCCGATGGTCGCGGGTTCGATTCTTCACACGGCACAAACATTTGTATTCATGAGTATGATTGTTTGTATCGGTCACCCGGACCGATATTTTTTATGTATAATATGTATGTATTTAAGAAAAAAAAATCAATGTACTTGTGTCAGTTATCTAGTACCCATAAAACAAGCTTTAGCTAGCTTAACTTGGGTCTAGATGGCTCTGGGTGAATTGTCCTGAGATTATTATTATTATAATACATAGATTGTTTATCTGCTTAAATGTTAAGTTGTTATAACCATTAAATTTATGTCTGTCTGTCATAAAGTATATAATGTATACAACCTCAACAATTGGAACGACCACAGTACACTTGTCAACAAAACCTTAAATGAGTTCATCCACTATACGGGTTATTATGAACAATTTTTTAAAATTACTTTGATTCCGAATGAGCTCGCTCTGTCAACCTTTATTGAATTCTATTGAATTAGTATACAGGTCTAAATTTGTTTGCGTCAATATTAACATTAAATAAAAAAATTGCATGCAGAATACTTCATTGCTCCATATTTAATAACAATAATCATCTTGTTTGTATGTGTATATAAGCATTTATTGGATATTTTCGACTCATTTGCACTTGTATAACTACCTCAATTGTGTTGTTTTACTGCAGTGATACTGTTGTAACAATGTCTAATGTATTGAAAGTTGTGTTTTCTATTAGTATTCTTGTCTGGGTGTTTGCTCAGGTAAGTACCTGTTAAAGAGAGTTATGTTTTTGTTAGACACCAAAATTGTGTCCGCGATATCGATGGAGTTTTCATTTAAAAGCGCCATCTTGTGATAATCTAATGATAACAATAAATTGAACATCTATGGGGAAGGTATTTTTAGTGATAGAGAACCGCATGAAAGTCGACTTAATATGGTAAATTCTTAGTAATTGGTAGTAACCCCATGGCTGTTTAGGTCGACCTCCACACGGTCCCCTCTGGAAACCAATTGGTTAATTCTAGATGCATTCATCGCGATGGGCTAGCATAAAGTTAAGTACTTCATGCTCATATTATAATCCTTCACTAGTGCCCCGCCAGCGTACACTGTCAGGCAGGCGGGAAAACCATGCGATTATCATGCATTAAAAAAATAATCACCTGTACAACGCCATCTAGTGTGTTATTTAAAAAGTAATTAATAAAATAGCGTGTCGAATAATATTTATTTATTTAAACTTTAATGCACAAATACAATATATAAATGTACATATGGCAAACTTAACACTGAAGGACATTCTCTGTCAGTCAACCATAAGGAAAACTGAAAATTAGATGAATTTCACTTCCTTGAAATATATTTTTCTAAGCTTTCTTTAGCCTATATATTACCAACATATTGAATATAGTTTATATGAGTATAAGTATCTATATATGTCCATATGATACAATCTATCTTCATGGGAGTAATGGAATAGTTAGTGATGTGGATTGTTGACGTCAAACTGACATGGTACTTTGCTAGCAATGGGATGCTAGCAATGTACCATGTCAGGTCGACGGTCACGCGGTTCCCACTGGAAACCATCGTGATAAATTCCCGGAGAATTTGTCACGTTAGGCTATCTGATCTGACTTCATGCTCATCCTATCACCCACCACTGGTGCCCCGCCAACGTAAACTCATCTATAAAAAAAATCTATCTTCATGCGAGGAATGGAATTGTTAGTGATATGGACTGTTGACCCCATTACTAGCATTCTCATCTCAGGTTTACGTGGTTCCCCTGGAAAAAAATAGTGGTAAATTCTTGGTGAATTTACCATTGTTGGCTAACTGACCTGACCTCATGCTCAAACATATAGTATAGTTCGTTAATATATCAACATATCTGCTTATTTTATTTTGTACTAGCTAGTCGCCCCGGCTTTGCACGGGTGCACATGTATTATATATATAAACCTTTCTGTTAAATCACTCTATCTACTAAATAAACCGCTTCAAAATCCGTTGCGTAGTTTTAAAGATACATACATAGGGACACATAGGTGACAGCGACAGAGACTTTGTTTTATACTATGTAACGATATTTCCTTACTTATCTGTATTTATTAGAATAGAATAGAAATAATCTATATTAAAATAAACTTAATATAAGCACTTTTGAATAGTCAAGTTTTTTTATTCTACCGCTTATTCGGAATGCAGATTCATCACAAGAAGAATAAGTAAGAAACTTGTGTGTTGCTCTTTTAAATAAAAAAAAATATTATATGTATATTATATCTCTGATCAACACGACTTTTGACTGGTAGAGAGTGCCAGGCAGCATCAGACATTAATCCACCATGTATTCAATTATGAGTGCAGCAACAATAAATAAATGAATAAATAAGTGAACAAACAAATGAATAAATAAATATTACAATTTCCACAGGCTGATCCCATAGACGATTTGAAAAAGGAATACGCGAGTTTAGTTATGGAATGTGTAGCTGTATACCCCATAACTGTTGAAGAAGTAGAACTGATGAAGAACGGGACGCTGCCCAAAAATACAGAAGTGAACTGCCTTCTGGCGTGTGCATATAAGAAAACAGGAATGGTATGTCGGTTCGAGTTTAGTTCTGATGTTTAAAATATAAATTATCTTATTAATGAGCCGTTACGTCATCGTGAAATTCAAACCTCATTTTTATATAAAAACCTTATTAACGTAAATAAAATTTCTTGGATAAAAAGTAGCTTAAGTAACTCCTTATAACATTAGCTATCTGCGAGTGAAAGTCCCATCAAAATAGGTCTAACCGTTTTAGAGAGTAAGAACAAATAGTCAGGCAATTTTATTTTAATAATAATAATTTTTTGGTTTAATTTTACTTTCATTATGCATTTAGTGAAAAACTGTTAATTTGAAATTACAAACAGACATTTTAATTAAATTTATTTGTATAACTAGCAGGCCCGGCCACGCGCTGCTGTTGGCTAAGATTCTTGAATAAAATAACTATAAATTGAGATGTAAGCTATCCTATCTTTCAAGTTGGATCAAATTGCACACAATGTGCGAATCAAATTTGCAATCAGTTCAGTAGTTTAGGGAGTCCATTTGAAGATAAATAAAAAATAATTTTAAATGCTAATTTTAAATGAACCATAGAATAACTTACATCCAAACGTGTTATAGTTTTCTTTGTAGTAAACTTGTAGAGACCTGAGTAGATCTAGAACACATCCTTTTCTAATCTAATATACACATTACTTGCTGCATATGACGGCTTAGGTGGTCTAGCGGTTTAGCACGTCGCTTTATTTGCGATGGTCGCGGGTTCGATTTCTCACAGTAGAAATATTTGTATTCATGAGTATAATTGTATGTATCGGTCTGGGTTATCATATCGTAACACAAACTTTAGCTAGTTTAGCTTGGATCCAGATGTCGCTGTGTGAATTATCCAGAGTTATTATTATTATTCTATATTAGGATTTAAATAAGCTGGATGTGTATTTGATGCACAAGGTCGAGTCTGATGAGGCAGCAATTACACGGTGCAGATTCCGGACAATGGTTCAACAGTCGATTCTCGTTTCATTTATTTCTGCCGGAAGCGAAATTTGCTCATTTACTATGATGAGAGCCATAAATGATGTTTGTATCACCTCCATTTTGTTATGAAATTGGTATGTAACTTTAATTATCTGTAAGATATGCTAACAAACAAAACAAAATGCCGGTCTCGGTGGTCTAGCGGTTTAACACGTCGCTTTACTTCCGATGGTCGCGGATTCAATTTCCTCACTCGGTGCAAAGATTTTTATTCAGGAGTATGATTGTTTATATTTATCTGGATTTTATATATGTATATATCCGTCATACTCGTGAACGGGTACTGTTTGTGGGGACTGGTCTGTTCGGATTACGGCCACTGATTATACTATTTCTTTTGACAAAATTGCAATAGCATATGTTGGTGGTTAATTCAATTCTTTCCGATTTTAATTTAAAAATGAATCTGTATTCTTATGAACATGTACAAACTTATGTGAAAAGAATAAGAGCTGAATATCTTGTCAGTTCTTCTTGGCTCGAAAGCACTCCAAACTGACAGTTGATTTGACATATCATAAGAGTCTGTAATAGAAACATGAATAATGGTATTTTATTTTGACTTTGTATACTAATACAAAGTACTTTTATTTTGTATAATTTACAAAAAAATGTATTTACATATTTATATCAGTTATCTAGTACTCATAAGCTCTGCTTAACTTTGGTCTAGATGCCGTTGTGTGGATTCCCCAGGGTTATTATTATTATTAATGTTACTGAGATAAACTTTATACGAAGTTGTCTGTTTGGATATCTCTGTCGCCAAGCACTTTGCTTTGTATTTTTTTATTTGGGCCACCACCCATGCTAAGATATACCTGCTCCTCCACAAACAGTTAAAAAAAATACAAAACCTCAAGACTTTTCAATAATATTTATAAGAACAACACTGACTGGGGACGGGGATTGTTAGTAATGTAGACTAATAACCCCATTGCTACCTATGTACCATCTTAAGTGGACCGTGATTCCACCTGGAAACCATCGTGATAAATTCCTGGTGAAATTACCACGATCAGCTAACTTACTTTACCTCATGCTCATCTTATCATCCTCCACTGGTGTCCCGCTAGCGTAAACCGTCAACACGCGTGTACACCATTTCATTATCATTCATAAGAAAAAAAAAACAAAACAGTAAATACATCATTGTAAAAGATGGAAAACTAAAAACAATCTGTTACTAAGACATCGGGCGTGACGCGTGTGATGTAAATAATTTGTTCATAGTCATGATGACGATGCGAAAACCAAACAATGTGACTTATTACCTTACTTAAACATTCAGCAAAGTATTATCAATGATATGTCATTAACAAAATGAAACCCGTTGAGTCTTTCCAGTTTTTATTAAGTGATAGGTCATAGGACAGCGAAACGTCAGTTTCTTCATTGTCATGATGATGTTTGCGAAATGGAAACATATGACAAACTGCCTTATTTATGTTTATATACACTCAGAATATATAAACAGATCATAAATAAAACCCTTTGAGATTTTTATAAATTACTCAAAACTGGGACATGGACCTGAGTATGGAGTTGGTCTTTATACTCAGGTATATGTCCCAGTTTTGAGTATATATATATATATATATATATATATATATATATATATATATATATATATAAATTCAGGGATCAGGGCCCGGCATGATTACCCTATGCAGCACTACGATCAGCATAGGTCTATTGTGCTCGTCCTCTTTTTCAGAGCTCGCTCTCTAGACCCGTCAGGGTTAAGAATTGAAGGGTATTCTTAGGAGCGATGGATTTTATCTTCACAGGATAGGCACTTTACAAGTCTAAACAAAAATAATAACAACTCTTATTGGAATTACAGATGGAGGAAAATGGAATGCTATCAATTGAAGGTATAAATAAGCAGACGGAGAAGTATTTCTCTGATAATCCAGAGAAAATGAAGAAAGCACGTGAATTTATAGACGCATGCAAAGGCGGTAAGGAATTTTTGTACCAAATGTATCTCGCCCAGTGGTAGAATTTTATATGATTTGGTTAAGTGTATTTTTTTAATGGATAGTGCTGATGTGGTAACTGTAACTGTATATGGTAATGGAATATCAGTGGACGATGATAGTATGAAGGTTAAGGATTTGTGATGAATAAAGGTGAGTGATGAAGTTCAACATTCCTGACATCGATGTATAAGGATACTTTTACTTGTAGTAATTTATTTCGATACTCAAGAACCCATTTATTTACTTTTTTAAATTTTGCTATGTCGCAGTTTGTATTCACACAAAATCTTAAAAAGATTTATTTAGAAGAGCAATACGCAATTTTCTTGCTAATTCTTCTTGTGATGAGTCTGAGTTCAGAATAAATGGTCGACAAAATCTCTAGCTGAGTGTTACAATAATTTTAAAACATATTTTTGCAGTGAATGATGAAGCTGTATCTGATGGAGAAAAAGGTTGCGATCGAGCTGCACTGATCTTCACTTGCACAGCAGAAAAAGCGCCTGGGGTTTGTTTCTTTTACATCCCAATATTATTTAGATAAAACGAAATTTGTACCTATCATACATAACATTTAGAAGTCAAATAAAAAGATACATGTAATTTTGCATACTCGACCGCCTGGATGGTAGCGATTTAGCAGACTCACTTCCGATGGCCGCGGGTTGAATTCCTCGTACGGCTCAAACATTTGTATTCATGAGTATGATTGTTTATATCGTTCTGGGTGTTTTCTATGTATATCATGTAAGTACATATAAAAATTGTATTGACGTATTGGATCAGTTGTCTAGTTCAGTGACGTCAGTAGCACTGTGTGAATTATCTGTGTTGGTATTATTATTATTGTGTTAAAGATATGTAATAAAATGACGGCAGATAGGGATCAGTGGAAGAAAATGGAAGAAGATACTGTGCCAACCACAAATAATACTATAATAGCAAAGCAATGATGAGGTGATAAGTACAATAGGTTATAGTATTATAGTAATGTTTTATTTTCTAGTTCGACCTCATTTGAAACGCCACACATTTCGCAGTGATTACTGTAACCGGCCGGATCCACACACGGAAATAATTGTGCAGCATCATTATATATAGATAGATATCACACAAGTAATATACATACACATCATTAGGAAGCCATGTAGGATATGAACGAAATTTTTATTATGCATAATTATTGTGATTTATTCCATTTTGTATTAACTACATCAATATATGTAATATGAGTTGACATTTTGTTTAATTTTTCCTTGATTTTTGTAAGTTAATGATATTTTTTTATTTTATAATTAAATAGATTGATTGGTAGATAAGAATTTTAGTTTTTTATAATATTACTGCTCTGTGATTATTACAGTGTAATACAAGGAATGAACAATAACATTACAATTACAATGATAATAATCTAGGTATCTGGAGTAGCATTACTCTATATGTGATGTATATGTGTGCATTAAAATACAATAGTATTAGTGTAGTAGGCGTCATCATCATCGCAGCCCGGAAGACGGCCACTGCTGGACATAGGCCTCCCCCAAAGATCTCCACGACAATCGGTCTTGCGCTGATCGCATCCAATGCCTTCCAGCGATCTTGACCAGATCGGTGCACCTTGCTGGAGGCCTTCCCACGCTGCGTCTTCCGGTCCGTGGTCGCAACTCGAGGACTTTACTGCCCCAACGGCCATCTGTCCTACGAGCTATGTAGTATTCATATGAATAATATACACATATAGACTTAATTACAAGTATATATTACACTTTATTTAAAACAATACAATAAAAATATAGGGACATCTGCATGAGCGTGCTACAGCAGTACAAAATAGCTTAAAGCTCAGTGTGAAGAATCATTTAAGAAGCAAAACTCTGATTATCGACTATGTCCGCTAGGGTGACTATACTAATTTAAAAAAAATCTGAATGAAACAATAGAAAATAAATAAATAATAATGAAACTTGAAACTACAGATTAGAGTATCAGAACTTTATAAATACTTAAATACCATAATGTATTTATATTTATAAATAGTATAAATAAATATGAAGATGTCAAAAAAAATCTATGTATAGTAAAATAAAATAGAATATAATAAAATGAAAAATGTGTGTTTATTAAAAAGGAAAATAACTATGAAGCTACTGCGCTTAGGCACCAGAACTACTTAACTAAAATACATAGAAAAATATGTGGTTTGGTTTAGATTTGAATTCATGATCTTTAGAATCTTTAGGATCTATAAATGGATGTAGTAAGCCACTAGGCTACGAGCCATCTTATTCACAATTCATCTCTTTTATATTATATAATTATGGAAGAGATGAAATGAAACTAATTAAGTGGTTAGATATTATTAGTAACTGGCTACTCGCCCCGACTTTGCGCAGGTGTATATGTATTATACATATAAATATTCCTCTAGAATCACTTTATCAATTAAAAAAAACCACTTCAGAATCCGTTTTAGGGATAGGGACAGACAGCGACAGCGACTCTGTTTTATACTATGTAATGATAAGAACTGGTGTCCCAATTGTTAGCCGTTGAAGATATTTAGTACAGGACGACTTCCACGAGGTACCCTCTGAAAATCATTATTATTCATTCCTGGCGAATTCGCCATGATGGACTAACTAAACTGGAATAAACTTCAACCTAATCCCATCATTATGGACTGATATCTCTCCAGCGTAAATCGTTAGCACAGACATCATACCTATACCACAGATAAAATAATAATACATACAAAAAAAATATCTAAATTATATTGTAATTAACTATTGTTATACTTCAAAACAGAGTTGTAAAATTTGAACTCACGACTGCATTTCAGGAAAGTCACTCATAAATTTTGCGGCGGACGGTCTACATGCATTTATTAACCTCTACATATATAATACTAAATTATAATTGTACTGTAAAAATAAATAAGTGAGTAATGTCTCCTTAGTAACAAAGGATTGTTTTATACCACGATTGTGGTAATCAAGAATACAGCAAATCTGATAGTAAACGGTTACCATTGTCTAGGGACGCCTAAAATACCACCAAGAGATGTCACGTGCGTGTTGCCTACCCTTTAGATAAATAAGATAGTACCGTTTTTTTATACCACGACGGTGGTAACCAAGCATACCACCGGATGGTAAATGGTTACCGTAGTCTATGGACGCCTGAAACACCAAGGGTGTCACATACGCGATGCGACCCTTAAGAAACCTTAATATATCCTTCTTGAAAAACCTCATGCTGTAGTCTCATTTTACTCAATTATAAGCAGCTAGTAACACGCACAAATTGTTGTAAAAAATTTAAATCGGATAAACGTAATAACGAATACAACATAATAACAATAATTATAATGATTTGCCTAAACAAAATAATTCGGTGATTGGTCATTTCATAAAATACAATTTAATGATGATGATTTTTTATATATTGTGATACACATATAAATAGGTGTTACGGAAGCAATATCATTCAGTCTGTACTGTTTATTAAAATAAGTATCACTATGGCGAAAATATTTTTCCTGCTGATGTTAGTCTGCTATACATATGTAAGTGGTTTTTTTTTGCTATCTTCTAGAATGAAATTTTGCCAGTGCCATGTCTATTTTTGGGTGGAAAATTAGTAAAATATGATTGAAGAAAATGGAATTAGAAGAGACTTTTCTGTTCAAACTGAAGAGATTAGAGCAAACGTAAAAAAACTATAATATTTGGTTAAATTATCAAACTTAAATGTATATTTAATCGTTTTGTTTTCTAATTGTAAAAAGGCATATATATTACATGTATTTCTTATTTATTTATTCAAACTTACATAACCTAATTGTACAACTAAGAACCTAAAATTAAAAAACTTAATATAATATAATGACTAAAATATATTATTAAAAGGGGTCCCTTTAGGCAACGTCCCGAAGATACTGGCAGCGTTCCCTCTTTGAATTTATTTTTCTAATTGATAAATAGTACCAATAACTTCTATAATCATATGTGTTGTTAAATGTAATCTGTTTGCACAACGTTCGAAATTTAAATTATTTAAAAATTTAATAATTATAAATATTATTGTGTACATTACTGCCAGTACTTTACTGATTTATATGTACGTATATATTTGCGTGCCGAATTTTGTCCTTAATTTAAGCCTTTTAGAGTTTTATTTAATAATGATAAAAAATATAATTTCACAACTCTTATCTTATATATAAAATTCTTGTGTCACAATGTTACATACTCCTCCGAAATGGCTTAATCGATTTTTATGAAATTTTATAAGCATATTCAGTAGGTCTGAGAATCGGCTACTATCTATTTTTCAGACCCCTAAGTGGTAAGGAATATCCACCCCTAAATATATTTTTTTATTTTTCCGAGTTTATATTTTATTTTCATTTTATTATTATTTAGGATTGAAAAATACATACAACCCTAAATTTTGAATCTGAATTACTTCTGCATCATTTATATCACTGCTAAAACTGTTGTGCAGGATTACATACACACACATACACACACACACACACAAACACACACACACACACACACAACACAACACACAACAATTAATATATTATTACAAAAAATATAGTGTTGAACATTTTGATTATATTTCTAAATAATCATGTAGAAAGACAGCTATATTGACTGAGAGTAATTAGTGTGAGTCACCTCCCACCTACCTACTCTATGTTCATAAGTCCTCTCTTCCAGCTTCTCTGTAAGAAATTGCTTATACGATAAGACCTATATTTCTTGTATGTACACAATAATAATATAATAGAGTATTATTATTATTATTAACTTCGACGGCCTCGGTGGTCTAGTGGTTTAGCACACCGCCTTACTTCCGATGGTTGCAGGTAATTCCTCCCACGGCACAAACATGAGTAATTATAGAATAATAAACTAGAAACATTTCACAAATGTTTGATATAAGCTATGGAAGAGTGGAGCCTCCTGGCAGAGGCATCTTTATGCTTAAAGGATTCTTCAACAACTGTAGGTAGAATGTAGTTGTAAACTTGTGTTATCTAAATAAAGAATTTGAATTTGAATAAATAGTTTTGGGAGTTTTACGACCTATATTTTGGTTCAAGGCAAAAACGGACGACGAAATCAAGGCGGATTTCATAAAACTAGTAATGCAATGTACGAGCGAGCACCCAATAGACATGAGTGAGTTGACACAGCTTCAGAAACTAATTGTGCCAAAGAAGCCCGAGGTTAGATGCCTACTCGCCTGCGCTTACAGGAAGGAAGGTATTGTAAGTACAATCCAATCATTAATTTTTAGTACTAGTGGTCACCCAGTGGCCAATATTCGTCAATAATTAACATTAACATTCAGTAAGACTATAGATAAATAAAATAAAATTAGTAAAAGTGACGATCTTACCACGTTTCATTTTCATTGAGTGCCCTGGAACTCAATAAAAATAAAACGCGATAAGATCCTGTGATTTCTACAAGTGCATATCGGTTTCTATGTCGATTGCATGCCACCTTGTTGATGTGTATTTACATAAAACTACATGTATTTAAAGTGAATAAGTCTGTGTTCCGTATGAGTGGCAGAATAAAAAAAATGACTATTCAAAACTGCTTGTATTAACTTTATTTGAATAAAGATTATTTCTATTTCTGTGTACAGATGACCAGCAAAGGTACATATGACATAGATCATGCATACAAAATGGCGGAAGAAAATGCCAACGGCGACGACAACCGGAAAGAAAATGCGAAGAAACTGGCTGATATTTGTGTGAAAGGTAAATAAAAATAATAAGAATCATCCCTATGTTTACTAGACAATTGATAGACCATCTCTCATATTAAAAAAAAAAAAATTCAAAATATCAAAACAACAAAATTCATGTAGTCTATTACGCTATGATTGTACTAGACAATTGATAGACATACTTGTTAATAATTATTATATATATATAATACTAGTAAATAATTACAAAATATACAAGAAAGTTAGTTAGATCTTCACAAATGGACGTACACACATTTTTTTATTGTAGGATAATTCAGACAGCTTTATCTAATCACGGGTATTGATATAAATATTTAGATACATTCTTTGTAAATATATTACATAGAAAACAACCAGACCGATACAAACAACCATATTCATGAATACAAACGTTTGTATCGTGCGAAGAATCGAACCCACGACCATTGGCTTCGGTGTGCTAAATCGCTAAATCAAACCCGTCGAATACATCATTTGGAACACCAATATACGAGTATCGACATTAGTAAAAAAACTGGGTGTTCTCTTTTACCACATAAACTAAAAGTATGCCAAATGTTAGAGACGAACTTCATTCATACTATTTCTGGACTTCACCTAGCATTCATGTCCGTGTGGGTGCCGGGTCCATCATGTGGCAGAGAGGGAAACTCCGAGTAGTTCACGGGACTTGTGACCAGATTATGATTAATGTTTCAGTGAATGACAGTGAAGTAAGTGATGGAGAAAAGGGCTGCGACCGAGCGGCGCTTTTATTGAAATGTCTTATCGATAATGCTCCTAAGGTAAGTGGTTGAAATGGATAGGACATCATTAGTAAATTAATGAATTTGAATACTAACAATAAGCTAAGGACAATTCACACAGCGCCATCTAGTCCCAAGTTAAGCTACCTAAAGTTGTGTTATGGGTTCTCGACACCTGATACAAATACATAGATATATTTTTTCGTAAATACATATTTATTATGCATAGAAAACACCCAGTAGTTTATTTGTATGGGTATATAAAGAATCATATTCATGAATACAAATTGTGCCGTGCGAAGAATCGAACCCGCGACCATCGGAAGTAAGCTGGAATATTCAATTTACCTAATTCGTAACATTTTTAGTACTATGCTGTTATCACTTAGCTTAGTATGTTTGCGGTTCTTACTAAAATATTTTCTGTATTTTTATCTTTGAAATAGTGCTTGATTGCGATTGAATAATTTTGAGAAACGTCGTTCTAAATAGAAATTCAAATCCAAATTAAAAAATCATTCATCCAGTGAAGACATTTCAGCCGCTTATGAACATAAAAATTTTTATATCATAATTTCCCTTATTATCGAGAAAAACTGGCAAAACATTCAATTTTATTTCTTTTTTTTTTTAAAAGCCAGTTTAACTTGCTATTTTTACTTATATAGTTGTACTACTATTGCCATGCACGCTCGATTGCGCAGTAAATGTGATTTAACAGATGTTTTGATTTTATTTAAGGGTAATTCCAGTATATAATTTGATATCTTAAAAAAACCCTATTTAAATAAAATTATTAAGTAAATTAATATACTAATCAGATTTTTATTTTATGGTACCTTCAATCTCATGATGTTGTTGTAGCCGAGAATACCGGTTTTAAAAAAACATAATTTGTAATTTTTTTCATTAAAACTAATTAATTAATTTAATTTAAATATTTTGTTTTCAGCTGGGATTCAAACTGTAGAACTAAGAATACTCCAAGAACGTGATGCTCCACAATAATATTGTATTTACTGTAAAATATTATAATTTTATATATTCTCTTTTAATACAAATAAATTATGATATATTTCGGGGTATGTTCCTATTATCGTACAATTATAAATTAGAAAATCAACTCTATAGTTTTAATATTAAAATTTAGTTCCAAAAACATTTTTTTTAAAATTAATGCTGTATAATGTATTAAGCGTGCGACATCTGTTTTATTGACTTGACAAATTTTAGAAAATTATTAAAAAAATTTTTTTTTTTTAAATTAATGCAGTATTGTTAATTATCATGCAACATCTATAATTGGTCAATATATTTATTAATTAAGTACAATTCAAATATTCCTATTAATATTATAAACGCGAAAGTTTTTGAGTATAGGTGAATATTTGTTACTCTTTCACGCAAAAAATACTGAACGGATTTTAATGAAATTGTACCTACAGTAATATAGCTTATACATCAGAATAAAACATGGGCTATAATTTAAAAAGATATTATGTAAATTGGGCGATATATAACGATATACGTCAAGTACGTGTAATGCAGACGAAGTTACGCGGGTCTGCTGGTAGGTATATAAAATTAAAAAAATATGTTAGATCCTAATATTAATATAAGAAAGAAAGCAATTCCTAAGTCGATTCTACCTCTATTTATTTGTTATGTTATATCTATATGAATTCTAAGTACCAGTGATGTACCTATATCAGGTCAGTATATATCTACTGGTAATCTTAAAGAGATAATGCTCCTTATGATTTTAAGTCCTATTGACGACCTCGGTGGTCTAGCGGTCTAGCACACCGCTTTACGACCGATGGTCGCGGGTTCGATTCCTCGCACGGCACAAACATTTGTATTCATGAGTATGATTGTTTGTATCGGTCTGGGTGTTTTCTATGTATAGTATGTATGTATTTACAAAAAAAAATCTATGTATCACAGTTATCTAGTAGCCATAACACAAGCTTTAGGTAGCTTAACTTGGGTCTAGATGGCGCTGTCTGAATTGTCCTGAAATTATTAGTATTATTATTTAAGAATCTACAGTATATTCTGTACACTTTCTATTATATAACTATAAATATTTAAATTTCTCAGCTTGTTCTATACTACGAGACACATGTCTTATATATATAATATAAACTTTCCTCATTGTTTGCATTAAATTACGTTACGTAATGTAAAAGATATAACCGAACAGACAACGGCGACGGCTGTTTTATACTATGTAAAGAAGATATAATGCAAGTCCGCTTGGTCCTACAAGGAGTTTTGCACCCACTTGTCATAAGACCATTTGATTTTTTGTGAAGTGTTTTGGTACTGTAATTTAATTTAAATTGAAATTTAGAGAACTAAACTTGAACTTCTATTTTACAAGAGTGCAAGGAACTTTTCGTAAATAAAGTGTTGATAATAACTAATATTATTGAATAATTGACGTCTACATCTAGTATTATAATTTTGAAATAAATCAGTAGATTTGGTTGTACATTAGGTTCCTGCTTTTAAATGCATCAGCGGTGCTAATAACTCATGTACAGTCTACTAGATGGCGCTAAAAATACATTATCGGAATTCATAGAAAGTTTTACTAGAATATTTAAGATACTTAAGAATATTAATACAAATTAACACATTAGTATATTTATAATATTCCATCAGTAGTCTGATGGAATATTATACTGCTAAGATCCATAACAAAGTACGTGAATTTGTCCAATTTACCGTTTTTAAAGTCTTTCTGGCAGATGATGTAAATTGCACCTGTAGACTCGGTAATTCCATAAAACAGGTGCATATATATGTAGACATTTCATAATTGCTTATTTATGATCATATATTCGGAATTGTTATAACAAAAGAAAGACAAAATTAATTGTATAGCAGTTTAATAAAATGGGGTTCCCAATGCATATGAACGTTTAGTGCCATGTAGGCGTACGCACTATAAACACACATGCGTAAATCGAAGCAAGTTTTTCAATCAACACCCTACAATGCGTTGCTCAGGCGCAGCGTCTCACACGCACACATACAAACATGTAGACAACTTCATTGAAGATCTACAGAAAGTGCTTACTTTTATTTCGAACTTCACTCCAATGGAGTCGACCGTATGATCGGTACATTAGTGACGTTTACGCAAACAATAGCCTTTTGTAGTTTGTTTTGTCAATAATCTTCTGTTATATTGATTGTTTGTGAACTGGAGTGACTCTAGTTAGATGTTGTGTATTGTGTTTTGTGATAAAACATCTGTTTACTGTGTTTATTTGTCGTTTAGAGTGTAGTGGGTTAAGTTTTATGTGTAAGTGCAGTGTGAAATCGAGTTTTGCATGTTTTAATACAATTTGGTAAGTGGACATTAAGTTGACAATATTTTATGTAAAATGTAATTTATGTTCCTTTCGTTTTTCCTTTTTATTTATATCTTTGTACAGTATATCTCTTACTGTTATTGTAATAAGATATATAATACCTATATTGAATCGATTAAGAAACACCGGTACTTACAATTGAGTAGGTAAAACAATCTTTATATGTATTTCTTTATCAAAATTTTAACTAACTGACATTTATTCATTAGTTTTAAGCGGTACACGTACAAAATGCTTATCCTCATCTGATTTTTCATGTTTAATATCACCTATTTTGCCTTTAGCTGCGTATATCTTCCTTGAAAACATATTATTAAACAATATTGAGTTTTTTATATTATTAGTTTTTACTGCATTGTTAATTTTTTTAATAAAATTTGGATCAATGTTATCTCCCATCCTTTCTTCTTTAGTAGTGTCTTTAGATTCTTTAGACCAATGTTTAATAAAATCGGTATTGGGTTGGTATTCAGCCTCTCGACGTTTTCGGCGTCCAGAAACAACCCCGAGTTGCAGTAGAACTGGATTGCTGACCAGAGCAGCCGCTGCTCCCAATAAGGCGATGCCAGCGATGGGCCACAGCACTGTTTTTGCTGCCAATGTCTGAAAAATAATTTAAGGTCAATGACACGCAGTGATAGAGATGTGTCAACTGGAGTTACTAACTCGAGTTGTGCTGAATTCGAGTTAACTCGAGTTGAATTCTCCCAACTTGAGTTTTAAGAGGAAATCCCTTGTTTGTGACTCGAATCGCCAGTGAATGAACGTGTAAAATGTACGAAATGCTTGGATTCATTATAAATACGTAGGAAATACGAGCTCGTTATTGAATAATATTAATAAAAACACTCAAATAAAAGAGTTGACCTGCAGCTATGCATGCGCTCCATAAGTTCTTCCACGGGTTTGGAGTGTCATTTCTACGTGCCCCCTATGGTTCGGTGACGCTGTCAAGGCCAGCTGCGGCCAATAACATTAGGTCGACAAATTAAAAAATAACTGTTTCTTCCAGGTAACTCGAGTTAACCCGAGTTAACTCGAATTACCTGAATTTCAACTCGAGTTAATTCGAGTCATGTTTATTACGAGTTAGCACATCTCTACGCAGTGATGAAGACAGCATCTTATCTGTAGCATCGTGTAAAGGAGTCTCTTGTTTGAGTTACGAAATCATAAACACTTAAGTTAAAATAAACCATTCAGGCCGTAATCATCATATAGGTCATTCTGTGCTACCCATGCACACCAGTTTTTTTGTACTACTGTTAAAATTATAATCATTTAGCAGGCGATTTCGTGCTACCAATGTACCTACATAATTTTTTTTGTCACTCCCTACTACCTAATTCCACTACTTCAGTTTAGAAATTGCAGGAAACTCAAGTGATTTATTTTTAATTTACTTTTTCTTATATTATTAATCTACTGACGCTTTAGGGAGGAAAGACTGTTAGTATCTATACCAATTTGTGTTACCACCATATGCACAACAGTTTTCTTGTCTCCCTACTCTCAAATTAGAATAGCTACTTCAGTTGAGAAATGGTAGTATACTCGAGTGACATTTTCAATTTATTTACTTTTTTTTGAGAGAGAGATTGTTAGTTTATTTTTTTATTTTCGGACTACTCTAACGCTGTTGCTGCAGCTTTACAGCTTCACCGGATGATGTATGTAATAGTCTACTGGCATCGTCGCTTACTGTCAAATAAACATGTCAGACAGACCTCTACGTGGTCGCCTCTGGAAGTCAGCATAATTCCTGATGAATTTGTCACAATGGGTTAACAGACCTGACTTCATGTTCATCCGATCATCCTCCACTGGTGTCCCACCAGCGTACTCCGTTACCGCAGGCGGGGCACTATTTCTTATCGATTAATTAAAAATAGGATCATACTTTTGAGAGAATCTTTTTTAATGAAATGGAGGCGTACCCTAAAAGTGGCTGGTTTTTTTTATTAATGATAATGGAATGGTGCATCCGTCTGCGCTAACAGTTTAGCGGTCTAACGGCACCAGTAGAGGATGATAAGATGAGAGATCAGTTCAGTTAGACCATCATGATAAATTCACCAAGAATTTCTCAAGGTAGTATACAGGGACCGCGTGGAGGCCAATCTGGCATGGTCTATAGAAGCAATGGGATTATCCCCATCCCGCCGATTGGTAATGATTTTTTTTATGGATGATAATGGAATGGTGTACTCGTCTGCGCTAACGGTTTACGCTGGTGGGGCACCAGTAGAGGATGATGAACATGAAATCTGGTCAGATCTAACTGGATCATCACGATAATTACACCTGGAATTTATTATGACAGTTTCCACTAGCAATCATCATAATGGAGGCCAACGTGACAAGTTCATTGTTAGCAATGTGATCATTAGTCCACATTATTAACAATCTACTTCTCCCAGTTTGGTAATGATTAGGTAATGTTATGTTAGACTTTGGTCCATTAGACATTGCCTAAATTTCGTTGAATAAGCAACATCTACGTAGGCGAAGCTTAGGTACTGCATAGTTTCCTGTGCTAATTTATTACTAAGACATGAATTATACTGAGGGTTGTCACTTGCAATAATAAATTATTTAATGTTGCCAAGGTA